ATTACAGTAGGTCTCTAAGGTGATGTATTATCTGTCTTGGTGGCAGATGAACAACACATCTCAGACAATACAGATGTAGGATCTTAATTTGAGCCAGTTTGCTACAGCAGGAAAATAATCCTGCAGCAGCAGGATGTGTAAATTATTGTGTGGATTATGGACATTATGGAAATTTTTGAAGGGGTTGGTGCATTTGTCGTAATTTCAAAGTGTAAATTACAAACTTCAGAAGCATTTGTTGCCCTTTCCTGCAGTCAAAGGACCTAGTGACCTCATGGGTGGAATGTTATTAATATTTTTCAGAATTTCAATTTCATTTTTTTTTTATCCGGTGCTTCTATGTCAAACGGTTTTGTTATTTCAGTCATCTTTGATGTATATAAAGTGTAATATTGGGATGTAAACTTAAAATGTAATACATTTCAACTCTATATCTGACATGGTACAGGTGTCTTATTTTTTAAGCCCATAACCATGTGTGTGAGGTGTATACTTTTGTTTCAAAGTAGATTTGTTTAAGACTACCAAGAAACACTCTGTGTGACCCTGATTTAGCCCACTGCAGTAAAATATTAAACCTAAACTACACTACACATTTAAATGTTTTTCCATTGCAGGAAAGTTCTCCTGCAACAGGGTGATCAAATTAAGATTCTACATCTGTATGTCTGTGTACAAACTCTATAGACCTTGTTTCTATACAGCCCCTCAGACATTGTGTTATTATTGGTCCTGTCAACAGACAGACATGGCTCCCCTTACTCTCTCCTGTCTCTTTTATTATCCACACTCGTGTTTTCCCTGCTCTGTCATTAACTGTTGACACACATGGCTGCGCCCTCTCTGAAGAGGTTCAATTAAGAGTATTGTGTGTGAGCGCCTCTGCTTTCTACTCACCGGCGAAAGGTACACACAAAAGACAGGGGAAACTGTCCAGCAGAGACAGGGGCGACTAGACTACAATCCTCTCCTCTCATCACCCCCATCCAGAACCACAGCACTCTGAGTACATAAATACTCTCACAGTGTTGAAATATATATTGTTGATGTTTGTCACCTAGAATCAGCTGCTTACCCTGAACACCATGATGAATGTTGTATTTCATGAGTTTATTGAGCATTGAAAATACTCATTTACCAACTCTCACTTACCTGAATCAGCTATGGGTATACTATGCCACAGACTCCCTCACTGGAGGACAACAATAGTTTGAGGCATCTGGTTTTGAAAACACGCCTTGATGACCTTGTACTATACATAAGAGCCCCACAGGCCACAACAACTCACTGTTGTCTCCACTTCTCCAGTCACACTACACTCAAAGAAATGCTGTTTTGTTTGGTTGAACCTACTGCTGGGTTGCAGGCATTGGGTCACTTAGTTGGGTTGTTTTCTATACAAAACTGCTGGGTTATTGATGCTGGGTTATGGAGGCGTGGCTTAGTATACTTGTGTTAGCCTTTAAGATAGTCATTTTTGGCCTTCCGTGAGAGTCATTCCAGTTAATCTGTTCTGTGTTTATCACATGTTAAGGTTGAACACTGACACTTTTTTACCAGTACGTGTCCTGGTAATCCGTCTGGTCCTCGGCCTTGTGAATTCTAACCTGTTTAATGGTCTCACTCACATCGGCTACGGAGAGCCTGATCACACAGTCGTCCGGAACAGCATGGTTCAGAGTTGGTTCAGAGTTGCTTGCCTCGACGCGAGCATAGAAGGCATTTAGCTCTTCTGGTAGTCTCGCATCACTGGGCAGGTCATGGCTGGGTTTCCCTTAATAATCTGTGATAGTTTGCAAGCCGTGACACATCTGACGAGCGTCAATGTCGGTGTAGTAGGATTCGATTTTAGTCTTGTAATGACGCTTTGCCTGTTTGATGGTTTGTCGGAGGGCGTAGCGGGATTTGTTATAAGCATCCGGATTTGTGTCCCGCTCCTTGAAAGCGGCAGCTCTTTAGCTCAGTGTGGATGTTGCCTGTAGTCCAAGGCTTCTGGTTAGGATATGTACGTACGGTCACTGTGGGGACTACGTCATCGATGCACTTATTAATAAAGCCGGTGACTGATGTGGTAAATTCTTCAATGCCATCGGATGAATCCCGGAACATATTCCAAACTGTGCTAGTGAAACAGTTCTGTAGCTTAGCGCCCGTGTCATCAGACCACTTCCATATTGAGCGCATCACTGGTATTCCTGTTTGAGTTTTTGCTTGTAAGCAGGAATTAAGAGGATGGAGTTATGGTCAGATTTGCCAAATGGAGGGCGAGGGAGAGCTTTGTATGTGTCTCTGTGTGTAGAGTCTAGAGGTGGTCTAGAGGTTTTTCGCCTCTAGTTGCATAGGAGACATGCTGGTAGAAATTAGGTAAAACGGATTTCAGTTTCACTGCATTAAAACGGATTTCAGTTTCCACTATTTTCCAGTGATTGCACTTTCGCCAATAGAACGGAGGGTAATGGCAACTTATCCACTCGCCGTCGCAGTCTCGTTAGATATCCTGCAATCATATCGCCCTGTTTCCCAATCCAAGATTGTGTGGATTTATAATTTCTTGATCTGCTGTTCACACTCTTTTTCTGCCAAACATCCCCCTCCTCAGTCCAGCTCACCTTGGCAAGCTTCTATTTCTCAAACAGAACCACTGCTCTTTTGTTCCCTCTCTCCAGGGGTGGGTTGGATTAGAATTAGATCAGACAGCCTAGCCCTGGGGTCGATAGAATGCTAGTGCACACTGAAATGAAAGTTTGAAGGATTTGATTAATGAACATATCCCATATTTATGGAAGGGAGAGTAGGAGAGACTAGGCAAGGAGGATATAACAGGGAGGAGAAGAAGAGAAAGGTCAGTAATTGGTGGTTAGAGACTACATAGAGAAAAGAGGGAGCACAGCAAGGGCGTGAGAGTAAGAAAAGCTCATTAGTGTCCATATTGGAAAGAAAGGGGTGATGGAGAAAGGGAGGGCTATTAGAGCACAACTTCATTGCCAGAGAGAGCCCTGATAAGGCAGTCTCTGTGCCCTGCAGCACTTGCACATACAGACTGATGCACCACTTTTCTCAAATCAATCAATAAAATTTGATTTGTCACATGCGCCAAATACAAAGTGTGTAGACTTAAAGGTATTTCCTGGTTGCAAAAATTCTAATAGTTCGCCTAATTTCAGTTTATGTGACAAAACAAGCAACTATAGTGTAGAGAATCATTGTACCATCTAAACCGCTGTGTTTCTTTTTTTTCCATAACCAAATACATTGTATTTTCAGCGGTTTGAAGCTGGTGTACAAAACTGAAACTAAAAGATGCAAAAACTAAACTTAAGACTGGGAAGCATAGAAATAGTGCACATAGAACAGATCTAACGCTTCTTATACTTGCATTCAATGAGAATGACAGATCTATAACTAACATTTCTATGTGAATTTAGTCGGGTCGCCCAAAAATGTTACAAATTGCAGCTTTAACTGTGAAATGCTTGCTTATGAGCCCTTCCCAACGATACAGATTTAAAAATAAATAAATAGTCACACAAGGAATAAAACACCAGATCAATGTGCAGAGGTACGAGGTATTTGAGGTAGAAATGTACATGAAGGCAGGGTAAAGTGACTAGGCATCAGGATAGATAATAATAAGAGTAAAATAAAGAGTAGCAGCAGCATATGATGAGTGTAAAAGTGTGTGTGTGTATGTGTGTGTGTCTTGTGTCGGTATGCGTGTGTGTGTTATGTGTGTGTGGGTTTTGTGTGAGAGTGTCAGTCTAGTGTGTGTGTGACTGTGTATATAGTGTGTATACAGTATATAGTCTTGTGAGTGTGGATACAGTCAGTGCAAGAAAGGGTCAGTGCAGATAGTTTGGGTAACCATTAATTAACTATTTAGCAGTCTTATGGCTATTTATAAGTCTTATGGCTTGGGGGTAGAAGCTGTCTCGGAGCCTGTTAGTCCGAGAGCCAATGCTCTGGTACTGTTTGCCGGACGGTAGCAGAGTGAACTGTCTATGGCTTGGGTGGCTTTAGTCTTTCTACATTTTTCGGGCCTTCGTCTGACACCGCCTGATATAGAGGTCCAGTGATGTACTGGGTTGTCCGCACCACCCTCTATAGTGCTTTGCGGTCAAGGGTGGTGCATTTGCCATACCAAGCGGTGATGCAGCCAGTCAAGATGCTCTAAATGGTGCAGCTGTAGAACTTATTGAGTATCTGAGGGCCCATGACAAATCTTTTCAGCCTCCTGATTGGGAAGAGGCGCTGTCGTGCCCTCTTTACGACTGTTCAGGTGTGTGTGGACATGTTAAGTCCTTAGTGATGTGGAAGCTAAGGAACTTGAAGCTCTCGACCCGCTCCACTACAACCCTGTCGATGTGGATGGGGACATGCTCTCCCCTCTATCTCCTGTAGTCCATGATCAGCTCCTTGGTCTTACTGAAGTTGAGGGAGAGGTTGTTGTCATGGCACCAACCTGCCAAGTCGCTGACCTCCTCCCTGTAGGCTGTCTAATCGTGTCGTGGGTGAACAGGGAGTACAGGAGGGGACTAGCACACACCCTTGAGGGGCCCCCGTATTGAGGGTCAGCGTGGCGGAGATGTTGTTTCCTACCCTCACCACCTGGGGCCGTCCCGTCAGGAAGGTCGTAGCAAACTTTCTTCTATGCGTCCATGTCTGTGTCCCGTTTTTTGTAAGCGGTAGCTCTAGCCTTTAGCCCAGTGCGGATATTGCCTGTAATCCATGGTTAATGGTTTGGATACCTTCGTATAGTCACTGCGGGGACGATGTCGTCTATGCACTTATTAATGAAGCCCGTGACTGATGTGGTAAACTCCTATAATGCTATCGAAGGAACATATCCCACTCTTTACTAGCAAAACAGTCTTGTAGCCTCAGGTTACGGGTTATAGATATGACTGTTCAAACATGTTTCACTTCTGTTGAAGTCGGATGATTACATATTTCAAAAGAACACTGTGTAAAACATCCCACAGTGACACTCTTTGTCAAATTCCATGGCAAAGGTCCATGACAAGGTAAGGGCAGGCGTTCAACGTGCCAGTTTTCCAGACGCAGTGGTGCCAGCTGTGATGTATTAGAACTATTTTATTATAGCACATGGCGCAAGTATATTCATGATGTCATATAAGGTGATTGGGTGAGTCAGTCCGCGTGCACCCGTCAAGTAACAAGCCCAGTGAAGGCAGTCTCCGGTGTTATGTTGCTAGCTACCTAGCTATGTTTATTGTTTCATTAAAGCCAACCAAGGTGATATTCACCTCCAGATTCTTCATATAAAGCATACTACTACATGGTGCCAGAAGATCAGCAACAATGGCTAAGTTTCCACCTCCAAAAAACATTGACTTCAGTCGCCCAGAACACTGGCCAGAATGGCGCCAACGATTTCATCATTACAGGATAACAACTAAGCTAAACAAAGAAGATGGATAGGTACAGGTTCTATTGGCTGGGCAAGGAAGCTGAACACGTTTTCAAGACATTCACATTTTCTGAGGAGGAGGATCAGAATGATTATGAGACTGTTATGGGTAAACTGGACAATTATTTTGTGCCCAAAGTGAACACTATTCATGAAAGAGCCCGCCCAAAAAATACAAGTGTCATATCAGAAAAGACTTATAGCACACTAAAAAGCATGCCACCGCTGAAGAGTAACAGTAACTCAACTAGACAGCCCAGGGGGTAAACTGAACTAGACAGCCCAGGGGGTAAACTCAACTAGACAGCCCAGGGGGTAAACTGAACTAGACAGCCCAGGGGGTAAACTGAACTAGACAGCCCGGTGGGAACTGAACTAGACAGCCCAGGGGGTAAAAACTCACTATACAGCCAGGGGGTAAACTGAGCTAACAGCCCCAGGGGGATAAACTCAACTAGACAGCCCAGGTGGGTAAACTGAACTAGATGCCCAGGGGGTACTCAACTAGACAGCCCAGGGGGTAAACTTCAACTAGACAGCCCAGGGGGTAACTCACTAGACAGCCAGGGGGTAAACTCAACAGACAGCCCAGGGGTAAACTCAACTAGACAGCCCAGGGGGTAAACTCAACTAGACAGCCCAGGGGGTAAACTCAACTAGACAGCCCACGGGGGATAAACTCAACTCAGAACATCCCAGGGGGTAAACTGAACCTAGACAGCCCAGGGGGTAAACGACGACCCCAGAGTAAACTCAACTAGACAAGCCCAGGGGTTAAACTCACAAACTAGGACACCCAGGGGGTAAAACTCAAACTAGACAGCCCAGGGGGTAAACTCAACTAGACAGCCCAGGGGGTAAACTGAACTAGACAGCCCAGGGGGGAAACTGAACTAGACAGCCCAGGGGGTAAACTGAACTAGACAGCCCAGGGGGTAAACTGAACTAGACAGCCCAGGGGGTAAACTGAACTAGACAGCCCAGGGGGGAAACTGAACTAGACAGCCCAGGGGGGAAACTGAACTAGACAGCCCAGGGGGGAAACTGAACTAGACAGCCCAGGGGGGAAACTGAACTAGACAGCCCAGGGGGGAAACTGAACTAGACAGCCCAGGGGGGAAACTCAACTAGACAGCCCAGGGGGTAAACTGAACTAGACAGCCCAGGGGGTAAACTCAACTAAGCCCAGGGGGGAAACTGAACTAGACAGCCCAGGGGGGAAACTGAACTAGACAGCCCAGGGGGGAAACTCAACTAGACAGCCCAGGGGGGAAACTCAACTAGACAGCCCAGGGGGGAAACTGAACTGGATGGGTCACTTTACAGCTACTACTATTTGGAAAGGACAGCAGTTGAAGTTCAAAGTGTATGTGATAAAGGAGTCACATGGAAGCCATCTGCTAGGCCATAATGTAGCTGTTGCAATGGGGTGGCAGGTAGCTTAGTGGTTAAGAGCGTTGTGCCAGTAACCGAAAGGTCGCTGGTTCTAATCCCCGAGCCGACTAGGTGAAAAATGTGCCCTTGAGCAAGGCACTTAACCCTAGTTGCTCTGGATAAGAGCGTCTGCTAAATGACTAAAAATGTTAATGTAAAAATGCTTAGTAAAGAGAATAGAAAAGATCAAAAGCACAGAGCAGCTCAAGAGTGCTCGTCCTGCAGATGTGGGCAAGCTGAAGATAAAACCAATGAAAATAAACCTGAAATATGATGTGGTGCCCTACAGGGCTTCTACATCTGCATTGCTTGCTGTTTGGGGTTTTAGGCTGGGTTTCTGTATAAGCACTTTGTGACATCTGCTGATGTAAAAAGGGCTTTATAAATACATTTGATTGTTTGATTGATACAGTGTAAATACAGCTAGACGTGTGTCAGTGCCCATGCTCCCCAAGGCAAAAAAGGAGCTTGACCGCATGGTGGCGAGTGGTGTGATCAGGGAGCCTACAGAGTGGTGTGATCAGGGAGCCTACAGAGTGGTGTGATCAGGGAGCCTACAGAGTGGTGTGATCAGGGAGCCTACAGAGTGGTGTGATCAGGGAGCCTACAGAGTGGTGTGATCAGGGAGCCTACAGAGTGGTGTGATCAGGGAGCCCACAGAGTGGTGTGATCAGGGAGCCTACAGAGTGGTGTGATCAGGGAGCCTACAGAGTGGTGTGATCAGGAGCCTACAGAGTGGTGTGATCAGGAGCCTACAGAGTGGTGTGCTCCTATGGACCTGGTACCCAAGAAGAACAAAGACTAGCTGAGGGTATGTGCTGATCTGAGAAGGTTAAACAAATCAGTGAACATGGAGAAATACATTCTACCCACCATAGAGATAACCTGCCAAGTTGTCTTTTAGATGCAGCAAGTGTCTTCTGGCAGATTCAACTAGACAGAGAGAGTGCCAAGCTTACCACATTCATAACACCTTATGGAAGGTACAATTTCAACAGACTTCCATTTGGAATCACTAGTGCCCCAGAAATCTTCCAGCGCAACATGACAGAGCTCCAGAAGGACCAAGAAGGCGTGGCCATTTACATGGATGATATCCTTATCTACTCAGACACGCCAGAGAGTCATGAGGAGATACTCCAGAACACCCTATACACATTGGAGAAAGCAGGTTTGAAGCTCAACCCAGACAAATGTCTACTGCGTCAGAAACAGCTCAACTACCTAGGACACTGCATCGACGAGAATGGCATTTGTCCTGATGAGCCCAAGATCCAGGCCATCACGCAGCTGGAGCCGCCAAGTAACGTGATTGATCTGAGGAGGATCCTGGGTATGATTCACTACCTAGGCAGGTACCTACCGGGTCTAGCTGATGTCACCAAACCACTTAACGACCTGCTCAAGAGTGATGCTACATGGACATGGAGTGCAGTGCAGGAGGAGGCCTTTAGGAAGGTAAAGCAACTCGTCACATTGCCACTTGTACTGGCATTCTATTATATGACAAACCCTACCATAGTCCATGCAGTATTTATGGGTTAGGCGGGGTCCTACTACAGAAACACAATGGACAGTTAAAGCCAGTAGCTTATTGCATCAGGACTCTCACAGAAGTGCTATGCACAGACAGAAAAGGAGTGTCTCGGCATGTCAGAAGTTTACCAGATATCTGTATGGCCTAGATGCATTCACACTGCAGAGTGATCAGAAACCCCTCATTCCACTGATAAACTGTAAAGACCTTGACTTAGTACCTTTGAGTTGCCAGAGACTGTTAATGCGCATGATGCGTTATAACCCTACAGCTGAGTATGTGGTGGGGAAACAGCTTGTTATAGGAGGCACCCTTTCCAGACATCCCCAGGCAGCTGTCACACAAGAGATCGTAGCTTACCAGTGAAATCGAGGCCTATGAGGATGCAATTCATACAGCATGGCCACCAAGTTTGATGTCGTCAAGAAGCAGACACATCAGGATGCAGAGCTGCAGATGGTGAAACACTATGTGACAACAGGATGGCCTAAGTATGCAGCCAAAGTGCCAGACAAGGTAAAAGCATAGTACACCTCCCGACAGCACCTCTCTACCTCACAAGGAGTAGTGTTGTATGGTGATAGTATAGTAATGCCACAAGAAATGAGAACTGAGATGTTAAAGTGGATACACGACGGCCATCAGGGCATTGTGAAGTGCCGGGAGCGAGCTAGAGGTAGTGTGTGGTGGCCTGGAATAAGTAAAAGCATCCAGAAAAGAGTCAGTACATGCAAAGACAGTCAGGAGTACAAACCTACTCAGAGGAGGGAACCTTTGATCACCACTCCACTCCCCAGTCACCCATGGGAAAGAATAGCAGCTGACATATGTGAACTCAACAAGCAAAACTACCTGGTAGTTGTGGAGTATTTTTCTAGATATATAGAAATAGCTTACCTCAAAGACATGTTAGGAGAAACTACTAGAGCTAAACTGAAAAACTGGTTCGCCAGGTGGGGATGCCCAAATGTGTTCATTACAGACAATGCTCCCCAGTTCTCAGGTAGAGCTTTCACGCAATTCTCTAAAGACTATGATTTCAGACACGCTACCACCAGCCCTCACTACGTCCAAGCAAATGGTGAGGCAGAGAGAGCCGTGCAGACAGCCAAACGGAACCTGAAACAGGCAGACCCATTCCTAGCTCTCATGACCTACAGAGCAAAGCCACTGCAAGCCACAGGTGTGAGACCAGCACAGCTCATGCTTGGCAGACAGCTCCACACCACAGTCCCACCCTGGAGGCTAACCTACAACCGGCATGGCCAGACCTCCAGCAGGTGAGACGTGTCGACGGGGACAGGCGTGTCTACAGCAACAGGTACAATGTCAGAGCCCTTCCAGACCTCCAGCCCGGAGTCAACATCGCCTTGAAGATGGACGACGAACAAGGCTGGACAAAGACAGCTTCAATGCTTCAACATTGTGACACACCCAAGTCATACTTGGTCCAGACAGACAAGGGAGCGCTGCGCAGGAATCGACGCCACCTGAAACCCCTCCACAGTGCTCCAGAGACTTCTCCAAAGGGTGGAGAGGAACACCCAGAGTGTGACACGGAGTTGCACTTACTTGTTTCAGATGCTGACCCACCTCCTGTCACAACACCACAGACTCCAGTGCACATTACTTCTCATGGCAGAGTTGGCAAACCACCAGACAGATATGGAGAGTATGTGCAGTAGTTAACACAGCCTGCATTATGTGGCAGAATAACCCCACTGCAGCTACAGTGAGGGAAACAAGTATTTGATCCCCTGCTGATTTTGTACGTTTGCCCACTGACAAAGAAATGATCAGTCTATAATTTTAATGGTAGGTTTATTTGAACAGTGAGAGACAGAATAACAACAAAAAAATCCAGAAAAACGCATGTCAAAAATGTTATAAATTGATTTGCATTTTAATGAGGGAAATACGTTTTTGACCCCCTCTCAATCAGAAAGATTTCTGGCTCCCAGGTGTCTTTTATACAGGTAACGAGCTGAGATTAGGAGCACACTCTTAAAGGGAGTGCTCCTAATCTCAGCTTGTCCACAGAAGCAATCAATCAATCAGATTCCAAACTCTCCATCATGGCCAAGACCAAAGAGCTCTCCAAGGATGTCAGGGACAAGATTGTAGACATACACAAGGCTGTAAATGGAATGGGCTACAAGACCATCGACAAGCAGCTTGGTGAGAAGGTGACAACAGTTGGTGCGATTATTCGCAAATGGAAGAAACACAAAAGACATGTCAATCTCCCTCGGCCTGAGGATCCATGCAAGATCTCACCTCGTGGAGTTGCAATGATCATGAGAACGGTGAGGAATCAGCCCAGAACTACACGGGAGGATCTTGTCAATGATCTCAAGGCAGCTGGGACCATAGTCACGAAGAAAAAAATTGGTAACACACTACGCCGTGAAGGACTGAAATCCTGCAGCGCCCGCAAGGTCCCCCTGCTCAAGAAAGCACATATACAGGCCCGTCTGAAGTTTGCCAATTAACATCTGAATGATTCAGAGGAGAACTGGGTGAAAGTGTTGTGGTCAGATGAGACCAAAATTGAGCTCTTTGGCATCAACTCAACTCGCCGTGTTTGGAGGAGGAGGAATGCTGCCTATGACCCCAAGAACACCATCCCCACCGTCAAACATGGAGGTGGAAACATTATGCTTTAGGGGTGTTTTTCTGCTAAGGGGACAGGACAACGTCACCGCATCAAAAGGACGATGGACGGGGCCATGTACTGTCAAATCTTGGGTGAGAACCTCCTTCCCTCAGCCAGGGCATTGAAAATGGGTCGTGGATGGGTATTCCAGCATGACAATGACCCAAAACACACGGCCAAGGCAACAAAGGAGTGGCTCAAGAAGAAGCACATTAAGGTCCTGGAGTGGCCTAGCCAGTCTCCAGACCTTAATCCCATAGGAAATCTGTGGAGGGAGCTGAAGGTTCGAGTTGCCAAACGTCAGGCCTCAAAACCTTAATGACTTGGAGACAAATCCCTCCTAAGGAGTGGGACAAAATCCCTCCTGAGATGTGTGCAAACCTGGTGGCCAACTACAAGAAACGTCTGACCTCTGTGATTGCCAACAAGGGTTTTGCCACCAAGTACTAAGTCATGTTTTGAAGAGGGGTCAAATACTTATTTCGCTCATTAAAATGCAAATCAATTGATAACATTTTTGACATGCGTTTTTCTGGATTTTTTTGTTGTGATTCTGTCTCTCACTGTTCAAATAAACCTACCATTAAAAATTATAGACTGATCATGTCTTTGTCAACTTTTTTCCCTCACTGTATGAAGGTGCCTGACAGTCTACCCAGCCCACCTTAGTTTAGAATATAGTTAATGTTGAAGAAACAAGGGAATGTTCGGTCGACAGAAAATCAGTTGATGTTTCATGAGTTGTTTACGAATTAATATGTTAAGGAGACAAACGTTTATTTCAGAGTGATGGACTATAAACAGTCATTCATGTAATGTGATGTTTTGACACATTTTAGAAACACATGTATTAAAAGATTCAAAGATGTTGGTGTATTGGAACTATTTTATTATGGCGGAGGGCGCTAAACCACAGATGTGTGTAATGGTGTTTCCTCCAGAGCAGCGCAGCGCAGCGCAGAGGCAAGTTGAGTTTTATGCAGAGAGGGGATTTGTCTCTACTTTACTGTGTTGCTGCCATTGTACTGCTGACTTCTGATCCTGCTCTGATCTTTCACCAGTCTCTTACTACAAAAGAGGAGCCACTCCTCAGATGGCTGTTCAGGCGAGATCTGATGCAGTAATGGTTCTGTATAGCTTTGCACTTGCAGCTCCACCATTTGTTTACGTAATGTGTGAGATAATTGCTATACAACACACAAAGGTATATGAGTTCTCTGTAAAATATCTGGACAACCAGGGTAGAATGGATGTAACCTGAGAATGATAGAATTCTGGTTGATGTCTCTAAACTCTTCAGTGATCAGGGGTGCCCTCTGTATGACAGGGTTCCACCACCACAACTTAAGATGCCGGAACAGTGAGCACTGAAAGCTTTGATTCTCTGAATGATTGTTTTTAACTTCTCTATTCATGCAACTCAACCTTATTAGGTAATCTCACAGGGTAAACGCTAGCTACTAAAATCTTTGAAGATTCAGTTGAAAATCTGTTATTTAAATCCAACAGAATTTAGGGTATTTCTGGAATGTCTGGCAAATGATAGGTTACTAGCAGCAGCTCTAGTCTCTGTATGGTTGTCAGAATGGGCCTCTGCAGGGTTCATTGGTGACTGAGGTGTGTTTTGACAGAGGGGTCCGGTCCACACACACATACAGTATATGCAGCCAGTGAGCTATGAAGTGTGTTCCGGGGGCAACTGTCTTCCCCCCAGCCCAGGAGCCAGACAGCCGTTCGCCACTCCTCTCCTCTTCCACATGGGCGTCATCGTTTCTTTCCCAGGAACTCAGCTCTAATCCAGTTAAAGACAGATTACCGGGTCTTGTGATTTTCTTAAACCCTACCTCTCTCTCCTTCCCTGGGTGGCACTGGCACAAAGTGCAGACTGTTAGGTATTCTGGGATATGTGCCCTTTTCTCCTCACTCACCTGCAGTCAGGAATCTGGGTCATATTCTCTGTAAATGATTGTAACTGGGAAACATTTATTGCAGGTGTGTGGAAGTGTTACCTTTTACCTTCATTTTGTATCAACTGGTGCTTTGCTATGTGCTGTCCTACTGTACAATCAATACAGAACTGGATATTTTCTAGACAGTGTCCTGTTCAGTGGAGGCTTCTGAGGGGAGGACAACTCATAATAATGGCTGGAATGGAGTGAATGGAATGGTATCAAACACATGAAAACCAAGTTCTGGATACCATTTCATTCACTCCATTCCAGCCATTATTATGAGCCGTTCTCCCCTCAGAAGCCTCCACTGGTCCTGTTCAATGTTAAATTAACCATCATTGAGAATGTGTACAAATCTGCCAATCACAGCACATCCCCCTATAGTTATCTGATCAGTCCATCAATTCATGGGATTGTCTAATGATAACAGTATAGTGACTGACATACTGGGCTTTAGTGCTGGAAGGCCATTCCACTGACTGGAATATGGTGTCAGAGAAGAGAGTGACTAGAAGGGACTGGATTCAAATCCAATAGATCACTGGAGCTCTGATACTGTATGCTTGACCATTAGGGAGTGAGGATTCAGAGACAGCTCGTAGGAGCTGCTGTTATTGGATAAGGGTCAACAATGACAGTTATGAGGGCAGTGGAACAACCAAAGAATTGCCTAGGGAGAGATGATCTCTGAGCACAGTAAGCAGTGTTAGATCCAGTAGAGGAAAGAGAGGTTGACAGGTCCTGGCCCTAGCTGCTCTGACAGTCAATGGATTCACTGCTCAGCGCTCCATTCCAGTGGCTGAGAAAGTGTCAGGTAGTGTGTGGATTAATCCTGAGCCTGGTTCCTCTGACACCCCCCGACTGCCCTCCCCGGCTCCCTGTCCCAGCCCGTATAGAGATAAGCAGCACAGAGCATGTGTGGACGGGCCCTCCACACTCCAACACACACGTTCTACCTCCGCACAGGGGCATTGTGGGAAGGGGCGGAGTGTTTGGAACAGTCCGTGTCCGACACTTTGACACCTGGAATGTTTTTCTTCATAAATACACATTTCCCCTCTCGCAGTCTCCCTGCATTCTTACTGTAACGCCCTGTACAGAAGGGAGATAGGATGTTGGGCAAGTGTGTGTGTAGCTACGCCTTCCTTCTTTGGTATGCGTGTGTGTGTAGCTATGTGGCGGGCGGCGTACAGACACGTGCTTGACCAACGCTCTAATCAGACTGTGAGAAACCAGCTGTTGTCAACAGCAGTTTTGAAACCTTCCAAAGGCCTGTGTTTTTGTTCGCACACTCCAATACATTAGCATTAGGACGCAATCTAACAGTAACGTTCTCTCACATGTTGACAGGAATTAGCAAAAAAGGTGTTATTTGAGACCTGTGATGTAAATGTTAGTTTTACTTTATATATGTCAATTTCATCATTGATTTTCGTGAGCAGCTAGCTGTACTGTACCTCCTCTGGAGTTTTAAGAAGAAAACATGAACAGGCGTTGAGCGGAAGGGACAACAGCGTTTACACTGGTCTACTGTATATTTAAGCAATAAGGCACCTCTGGGGTTTGTGGTATATGGCCAATATACCACGGCTAAGGGCTGTTCTTACGCTCGACGCATCGCGGAGTGCCTGGACACAGCCATTAGCCATGGTGTATTGGCCATATACCACAAACCCCCGAGGTGCCTTATTGCTATTATAAACTGGTTACTAAAGTAATTAGAGCAGTAAAAATAAAGGTTTTGTCATACCCATGGTATACGGTCTCATATACCACGGCTGTCAGCCAATCAGCATTCAGGGCTGGAACCACCCAGTTTATAATAAACAATGGGTGCTTAGGTCGGATTTGAAAAACTCTTTGAAATGAATGTCGCTGTTATGTTTGGAGAAAAGACAGAGGAATGCAATAACAGAGTAGGTGAAGGCAGACCCTGGTGTGGCTTTACCAGGGACCTCCCCAAATACACTCTTACAAAACACATGCACACAAAGATACACACACACATGCACACACATGTGGGTGCACACACACACAATCACACACACACACTCACTGAGATACAGTAGATTGCCCCTTCAAATGTCCAGTCATGCAACACACCCACATTGCAGCTTAGAGAAGCCATTAGGGTCTGTATCACTGTCAGAGATAGCTTGTCACAGCCAGGGAGGGGTCCTCTATCTTTGTTCTACATCTCTGGTGAGCTTCAGGTATTCTCTGTGGGCAAATGTACAGCACTCCTAAAGGGACTTTTCTGTTTGCACAGGGAGAGTCGGATATGTGCAGATATCAACATTCCAAAGGTCACGCTTTGATTTTGAATGTCTCAGGTTAAGTAAGGCCCAGTGGCATATTGCCTTGTGTTAATGCTTTACTGCTCCTTTACTGGAATTCAGGGAATCTGATTCAGTTAAATATTTTACTTGAACAGGGGCCAAGTCATGGCACAGGTATAGGATCTTAATTTGATCACCCTGTTGCAGGAGAACAAAAAGGCTTCTGAAGTTAGTAATTTCCACTTAGAAATTTCAGACTTGGCCCTATGTTTACTTGGTTCTCCTATGACACCTACACATGCTCTAATGACTGGGTGTCTATGGGAAATATGACTATTTCATTTCTCATGGGTAACACATGATGTTTTTAATTCCACATCACACCTTCCACCTCCGTCGTGTCCCAACATGCTGTGTGTTTGCTGTTACCTGGGCCTCTGATGTTGAAAGGGGCCCCAGCGATCTCTGCATCTCTTTCCACATCTCTAGCTGCCTCTCTATTTCTCCTGCTCTGTAGAAAGTCATCAGTCCACCCTTTCTTTTCTCTGTCACCCCCTTCCTTACCTCTTCACTCTCTTTCTCTCTTTGCCTTGTTTTTATTCTCCTCACTCAATCACTCTCCCTTCCTCTCTTGTTGCTCTCAACCATGATGAGGCTGGTTTTTCAGAGTCAGTGATGTGTCGACAACATTTACGTGGGTGAGACGGACAACAGGGTGTAATACTCAGAGCCCAAAATAGGGCATAATAGGGCAATTCTGCAGGGCCCTGGCCCCTTCTGAACAGCTACCTTGAACACAAGTGTCTCGTCCAGGTGCAGAAGGAGCTGTGCAGTTCATAGTTCACAGATTATGGCAGTGTGTTAAAGATGAGGTCGCAACAACGACAACAACAACAACATTTATTGTCTCTATTTTAACAGCCACCATTCAGCTGTGAGGAGCCCGAAGCAACACTATCAGTAGTATGTCATAGAAACCAACTCCAGTGTCCTAGAGACAGCCTAAGGGAATCAGTGATTTATTTACCTCTCTTCAATGTTCACCTCAGACTCCTGGCTTGAGGGCAGGAAAGCAACATTACCCTTGTCCTGGAATCCCTCACTTGTCCTATGAGTCGTTCCATTAGATTTCAATCACTTTTTGACCACACCCCTTTTGATTTGAACAAAACTTTCCATAGATATTTGCCCATAGTAGAAGTGGTCAGAATGTTACTTTTTGGACCTGAATGCCAAAACATTTAGGAGATAAAGGGGGCTCAAAGTTGACCCATTTTGCATACCCCACCCTACCATGAGACATCCATGTCTTCATCACTGGAAAATATAAATGGTTGAGTTTGATATCATTTAAAAGCTTACAAACAGGGTTGTCAAACTATTTGATAATTTCTTGAAAACATTTGTTTTAAATAAAAATGATTTCATTTTCTATCCTTTAACTTCAATTATCTAAAAACGCATAACCTCCGATTTTTTTCATTTTCGCATAATTTGTAGCTTAGACCAAATTTTACATAATTTGAGGTGTTTGTGTTGTGCCCGCCATCAGTTGAGACACAGCATACTCTTGAATACAAGGTGGGTGTAATTTCAATCATAGAAATATAATTCATTCAATAGAATGGACATATCCCTTCAGACCACTGCAATTTAGCTGGTACACCATTGAAATTTGATTTGACATTTTTACTCCCAATTACTACCACAAAGATGGCCGCCAGTCCACCAACCATTGAATGTCAATATAAATAGGAATGTCTCTTCTATTATCTATATTTCTATGATTTCAATAGATTTCCTATAGAAGATTGAAATTATAATTTAAAACAACTGATATTCCCATTCAAGTCAACATTCTCTGATGTGTGGACTTCCAACCATCTTTGTGCTACCATTTGAAAGTTTACATTTCGTTTTTGTTCACATTTTAGTACATTTATCAGCCAAAACATGACATCCACCCTGTATTTAAGAGCATGCTGTGTCTCAACCGATGGCGGGCAAAACACAAACACCTCAGGTATTGTAACATATTCTAAGCTACAACATATGCGAAAATGAAAAATATCGGAGTTTACTTGTTTTTACATAATTGATGTTAAAGGTTAAAGAATGACATAATTTGTATTAAAAAAACATTTGTTTCAAGAAAATGTTAAACAGTTTGACAACTCTGTTTGCACGCTTTAAATGGTATCAAACTCAATCGTTTATCTTTTCCAGGGATGAAGACATTGGATTTCTCATGGTAGGGTGGGGTTAGTCTGGCTGACACCTAACTCGAAGATCTCCTGACTTCAGAGTTTGGAAAGGCTGTTTTGATGTTGTCAGCATTATGCATGGATAATGAAGGGGGCTGTGCTTTTTTACTGATTGGTTCTCCTCTGTGTATTTCTCACTGAAACACCCATGGACAGCCACACACCCCTGAGTGCCGCCCCCTTCCAATATAACTGTTGGATTTTGAAATCCAAACAACGTTAGGTCTCAACACCCCAGGAAAAAGATAAACATCTGAGAGAACCAATTAAAGCTCAGCCAGAAATAAGCACAACTCTGCTCGAATACTGCATTTACAACGGCCTCCTGTCCAGACCAGTGTGTCAGCTCTCCCTCGCTGACCATGTGAGTCATGTTAGCCAGGCTAACGGCGGGGTATGCAAAAATGGTCAACTTTGAGCACCTCTATCTCCTAAATGTTTTGGCATTCAGGTCCAAAAAGGTACTTTCTGACCACTTCTACCATGGGCAAATATGTATACAAAGTTTTGTTCAAAATAAAAAAGGGGTGCTGTCAAAAAGGGATTGAAATCAAATGGAACGACCCCTATGTAACCTGATCTGATACCATTATTTACATTAGTTAACTTGATACAGACTCTATCTGCGCTGTCTGTCATCACAATTACTACAGATCTGTAACAGAGAACAGTTACTGCATTTACATCGAAAATGTGTCATCCTGTTACATGTATTTTGTTACTCTCCAACGCTAGTAGTAACCCAGTAACCACTGTAGAATTGTCTATGATGGAAAACAGAGATGTTTTCCTGTGATTTCCCAGTCAGGGTGGGACCGTAGCGCACATAGTGTAGTGTACAGGAGTGGGTGTATGCAGAGTGAGCTCATCCTCTGGTCCTGCCTACTGACTGAACACTGCAAACACTAGACTCTTAGTGATACAGATACCACTCCTGTGGAAAGACAAGCCCATTGCCTCCAGTCACGAAGCATGAACTCATTACCCTTAAGTTCTCTTTACAGACTGCAAATATAACATGATACCTGAGTGCCTTGCAAAAGTATTCATCCCCCTTGGCGTTTTTCCTATTTTGATGCATTGCAACCTGTAATTTAAATGGAATTTTTTTTGAATTTCATGTAATGGATATACACAAAATAGTCCAAATTGGTGAAGTGAAATGAAAAAAATAACTTGTTTCAAGAAATTCTAAAAAATAAATAATGGAAAAGTGGTGCATGCATATGTATTCACCCCCTTTGCTATGAAGCCCCTAAATAAGATCTGGTGCAACCAATTACCTTCAGAAGTCACATAATTAGTTAAATAAAGTCCACCTGTGTGCAATCTAAGTGTCACATGATCTCAGTATATATACACCTGTTCTGAAAGGCCCCAGAGTCTGCAACACCACTAAGCAAGGGGCACCACCAAGCAAGCAGCACCATGAAGACCAAGGAGCTCTCCAAACAGGTCAGGGACAAAGTTGTGGAGAAGTACAGATCAGGGTTGGGTTATAAAAAAATATCCAAAACTTTGAACATCCCACGGAGCACCATTAAATCCATTATAAAAAAATTGAAAAAATATGGCACCACAACAAACCTGCCAAGAGAGGGCCACCCACCAAAACTCACACCAAAGTTAACGCTGAAGGAGCTGCAAAGCTCCACAGCGGAGATTGGAGTATCTGTCCATAGGACCACTTTAAGCCGTACACTCCACAGAGCTGGGCTTTACGGAAGAGTGGCCAGAAAAAAGGCATTGCTTAAAAAAAAAAATAAGCAAACACGTTTGGTGTTCGCCAAAAGGCATGTGGGAGACTCCCCAAACATATGGAAGAAGGTACTCTGGTCAGATGAGACAAAAATTGAGCTTTTTGGCCATCAAGGAAAACGCTATGTCTGGTGCAAACCCAACACCTCTCATCACCCCGAGAACACCATCCCCTCAGTGAAGCATGATGGTGGCAGCATCATGCTGTGGGGATGTTTTTCATCGGCAGGGACTGGGAAACTGGTCAGAATTGAAGGAATGATGGATGGCGCTAAATACAGGGAAATTCTTGAGGGAAACCTGTTTCAGTCTTCCAGAGATTTGAGACTGGGATGGAGGTTCACCTTCCAGCAGGACAATGACCCTAAGCATACTGCTAAAGCAACACTCGAGTGGTTTAAGGGGAAACATTTAAATGTTTTGGAATGGCCTAGTCAAAACCCAGACCTCAATCCAATTGAAAATCTGTGGTATGATTTAAAGATTGCTGTACACCAGCGGAACCCATTCAACTTGAAGGAGCTGGAGCAGTTTTGCCTTTAAGAATGGGCAAAAATCCCAGTGGCTAGATGTGCCAAGCTTATAGAGACATACCCCAAGAGACTTGCAGCTGTAATAGCTGCAAAAGGTGGCTCTACAAAGTATTGACTTTGGGGGGGGGGGTGAATAGTTATGCACGCTCAGGTTCTTTTTTTTGGTCTTATTTCTTGTTTGTTTCACAAGAAAAAATATTTTGCATCTTCAAAGTGGTAGGCATGTTGTGTAAATCAAATGATACAAACCCCCCAAGAATCAATTCTAATTCCAGGTTGTAAGGCAACAAAATAGGAAAAATGCCAAGAGGGGTGAATACTGTCGCAAGCCACTGTAACTGTGTATAACCTAATGAATTGGTTCGATAGTATGTCATTTCTTTATGTCTCCTTATCTGATGTGCTACATAATATTGAACTATTCAATCCATATGCTTTATAAATGATAGAGTAACTCATCTTTTTTTATTTTGTGTTCTTTTCCTTCCTCTTCCCTGTCCTCAATTCCCCCTCAGCTCTTAGTGTTGTGGGACAGCAGCTCCCCTCAAGCCCGCATGGCTGCATGGAGGGCAGCTGTTACCCGGCAACAGGCAACCTGTTGATTGGCCGAAACATTAATCTCAGCGCCACCTCCACTTGTGGTCTTCATGGGCCTGAACACTACTGCATAGTCAGCCACCTGCAGGTGAGAACACACACAGGCACACGCACACACACCTGGACTTGAACCTGAACCTGTTTTGGAAATAAGACCCCATTATCTCCCGAGACCCCAGCCGTGGTCATAACTCATGGCTAACATGTGCACTAGAATCCGGTCGAAGGCCTGTCAGCCCGCGACCACCCGTGGGCGCGCGCAATTGGCCAGGTCGTCCAGGTAGGGAGGGCTTTTGCCGGCAGGATTACTCAGTGTAGAGCCATGTTTGCAACGCCGGGGTTGGGTTCGAAAATAATATGCACTAACTGTATCTCTGATAGACGTGCTAATGACTTAATGTAAATGATCCGTCTTACCCACCCATAATTGGATGTCTCTCATAAAGTCGACATCCGGTGGTTGAGGACTTGATCTGTTGCCCCACGGCCTCCGTCTATTCCATCTTACTGCTGTCCCAGGTGTACAGCGCACCCCACCTCCCTCCCTCCTCCAACCCCTCCCTACATCCCTCTCTCCCTCTTCCCCCCTTCCCCCCTCCCTCCATCCCTGACACATTTTGACTTGAAGCTTGGCCTGCATGTATGTGTTCTACCTCATTGTTAGCCTGTGGGCAGCAGATACGGTAACACATTGTGGAGTGTTATAGGGTTACATGATTGATGGGTGGTGACTGTGGAATGGCTCTTAGAGCAGGGCGGGACATGGTGACAGCCCCTCATACTGTACTCCAGGTGGGAACCATCATCTGTCAGTCAAATCACTCAACTGCTACTTCACCGGCCCACACCAAACACTCCTGTCGCAATCATTCCGATTCATTCCACTGATGTTTTTCCTATTTTTTGGTAGTTGTACTCATTTTGTCCTGGTTTTCTTTTTATAATACCTGTAGTGGTATGTACACAGAAGAAGGAAAAAAAAAACTTTTGCCTGTTCAATTCATATTGTAACAAATGCAGCTCCTGGTCACTTCCTGCGTCCTCCTACAGTAATCTGATTATGCCAGTGTAGTGGCTGGACCAAGTCCAGGGCTGGGGACTGATCTGTAGTAATCTTCCTATGGGCTGTTTGTTGTGACGCTCCATCAGAGGGGTTCCCGTCTGGCCCCACGGCCCACTTGATGGACTGGAACTAAAGCTTTAACGCTAGCCCTGCTTCCACTGGGTCGAGGATGGGGGAGCATGGGGGAGGATGGAGGAGCCAGTGGGCTGTGACACTCATAAGCCACAATTTTCCTGTGTCAATGAAGATCATTCAAATCAATGTCTTAAATGAGTGCTGATGAGTGCTAGTTATAATTTGAGTGTCCTCTAAGCTTGACTAATGGGAGGTAAATATGTCTAAGATGTGAGGAGAGGTAGAGAGGTTTGGTGATGGAGGATCCGTATATGATGGTACCCTTAGCTTGAAGAAAGGAATGCCCTTATAAGACGAGGTCCGAAATGAGGGTGTGAAAAGGAGATTTACGGTTTAAAGCTGGTGTGACAGGCATGTGCATGTGTGCACCGACACACACCTACTTATACACACTGTATGCTTTCCTATTGATTTCTCCCCTCAATCCTTTCACATAAATGTTGTTGGAGGCTTAATCTCCCTTGACAACAACCTAGTTAAGAGACCCTGCTCTGGCGTTTTTCCATGCCCCCCTCCCCCTCCCATCCCCTCTGCCCTCCTCACTATCCACCCGATCCGCTCCACAGTAATTAAGACTATGATCTAGGTGACAATGTTACCCCTGCTTGGCTCCGGTCCTGCTAGCTGCCATTGTGACTTGCAAATGAGTGCCTGACCCACATTTGTAGTTTCCATAGGCAACCAGGGCTTTCCTGTTGGTGGTGTCAAACTCCTAGATACACATGTCAGCCGAATGTCGTAATTCAGTGAACAGGTCTATTTAAGTCAGTGTTACTGTATCACACACAAGTTAACAAATCCTTCACACCTGCTGCTTCTGTCTCCCTGTAGGAATTGGACAAGTGTTTTGCGTGTAACTCTCAGCGGCCTTATGACCCATACTACCACAAAAACAGTCACCGCGTGGAGAACGTCATCCAACTCAAGGACAGCAACGAGGACCTCACCTGGTGGCAGTCCGTCAACGTGTGTGTGTGTGTGTGTGTGTGTGTGTGGTGTGTCTCAGCTGTAATAATCTCATTGTGTTTTGTGTGATTTATTCCCTACAGGAGAGGAGGGTGTCAGTATCAGACTCAATCTGGAGGCAGAATTCCACTTCACTCACCTCATCATGAAGTTTAAGGTGAGAGTATGTGTGTGTTGCTGTCTGATGCCAGCTCAGGAATTTGTTGAATAATATCCAAGAGACATGAATCCAAATTACCTACAAACATATTATTACCAATAAAACAGACATGTAATAAACGTCACATAAATAATTCTGAATAAGTCCCAGCCGTTACTGAATACTGTTCCGGCTGTTCCATCTTTCTTTCCAAAGACATTCCGACCGGCCGCCATGCTGATAGAGCGTTCGGCTGATTTTGGTCGCTCCTGGAGACCGTACCGTTATTTTGCCTACAACTGCACCAAGACGTTTCCACGTGTGCCCTCCCACGCCCTCCACTACATCAATGATGTCATCTGTGAGGAGAGATATTCTGACATCGAGCCCTCCACGGAAGGAGAGGTGAGGCCATGAAGCGAGTTAGGGACAATGATGGAGTTTCCTTCTTTAGATGAAGAAATGTGTATTTGTTGATTATCTGAGCTGTGACACGACTCTCTTTTCTCGCTCAGGTCATTTATAAAGTGCTTGACCCTGCCATACATGTGAAAGACCCATACAGTCTGGAGATTCAAGGTGAGACAAATACTTGGGAAATGAGATCAGTTAAGAAGACAATCAGAGGACTACTGAAAGTAACCTATAAACTATACATTTTATAGGACTCCATTAAATAATAATGAAAGATTTATGTAAACATCCCCTTTTATTTGGTAGAGCTGTTGCGGATCACCAACCTGCGGATCAACTTCACCAAGCTGCACACCCTGGGAGATAACCTGCTGGACCGGCGTTCTGACGTGCTGCAGAAGTACTATTACTCCCTGTATGAGCTGGTGGTGAGGGGCAGCTGCTTCTGCTACGGACACGCCTCAGAATGTGCCCCCGTGCCAGGGGTTGATGCCAGGGACAGTGGCATGGTGGGTAGGACAGAGGCATAGCTCATATCCAGTCAACTCTTTTTACACCTCAGTTTGTGTCAGGTAGCCTAGCGGTTAAGAGCATTAGGCCAGTAACTGAAAGGTCGCTGGTTCGAATCCCAAGCCGACTGGGTGATAAATCTGCCGATGTTCTCTTGAGCAAGGTACGTAACCCTAATTGCGCCTGTAAATCGGTCTGGATTAGAGCGTCTGCTAAATGACAAAAATGAAAATGTCATATGTTGTCTCTGTGTGGGAACCCTTGGTCATTGCATATGCTGATGACTGTGAAAAATGTCCAAGAGACAATGGTAACTGTGATGTTTTCTTTCTGTGTTGTGATTGGTCAGATCCATGGGCGATGTGTGTGTAAACACAATACTGAGGGGTTAAACTGTGAACGCTGCAGAGTCTTCCACAACGACCTGCCCTGGAGCCCAGCCGAGGCCAACAACCCTCACACATGCAGAGGTGAGACTAAACATAACTCACCTGTAGTGGTAAGACAACACACACTCACTTGGAGTGGGAGGAATCTGTCAATGTAGTCCAACCCTGTATGTAGAAGTAACACTACAGTACACACACAGCTGCAGAAACAACATGCGGCACCATTTCTGATGTATGTGATTTTTTGCTTCTTTACCTAGAATGCAACTGTAACGGTCACTCCAGCGAGTGTCACTTTGACATGGCGGTGTACCTGGCCACGGGCAATGCCAGCGGTGGCGTCTGTGACCACTGTCTCCACAACACCATGGGACGCAACTGTGAGATGTGTAAACCATTCTACTATAAGGACCCCAGCAGGGACATCAGAGACCCAGCCGCTTGTACTGGTGAGCAAACCTGGAATAAAATACCGCAATCTAGTGTTCTGCTGTCTGCATACTACTATGCATACCGCTATCCATGTGTTTTGGTAATACAGTGTAGAAGGACTACTCACTTTTTGCCCATCTCGGTCTCTCTGCACTCCACTCTCATTGTGTGACTGTTTCTCTGTCTCTCTATCTTCCTACTCTCACTCTCCCTCTCTCTAGCGTGTGACTGTGATCCTGTGGGTTCCATGGAGGGAGGTGTGTGTGACAGCCACACAGACCTGAACATGGGCATGATCGCCGGGCAGTGCCGCTGTAAGCTCAACGTTAAGGCCACCCGCTGTGACTACTGCAAGGAGGGCTACTACGGCCTGACCCACAACGACCCACAGGGCTGCCAACGTGAGTGTGTATACCTTAACGTGTGCGTGTGTATGCATCTCTGTGTGTGTGTGTGTGTGTGTGTGTGTGTGTGTGTGTTGCCGCAGACAGTGTAAACCATATATGTGTCTACTGTTTGTTTCTCTCAGCGTGTAACTGTGACCATCGTGGGATCATAATGCTGGGAGCACCATGTGACCAGATCAGTGGGGACTGCTCCTGTAAGAGATACGTCACAGGCCGCTACTGCAACCAGTGTCTGGTAAGACTGGCCCTGTGCTCTTTACAGACCATCGTCTACTATCTCACACACCGTGCCTACTTTATACAGGATACTTTTCTGATGCCTCTTCTTCCATCTTGTAATGATTGTATATCGGTTCTGAGGATGTGGTCATAATGTTGTCTGTGTGTCCTCCCCTTTAGCCGGAGTACTGGGGTCTCAGTAATGACCTTGCAGGCTGCCGAGCCTGTGACTGTGACTTTGGTGGAGCCTACAGCAACAGGTACGTCCGACGTTTCAGGAGAATTGCTTATCTCTGTGTGTGTGTTTGTATGATTAATCACACTGAATAGGACTTAGCACTTAGTGTTGTGCAAGTCTTCATTATTAGGTGTTAAATCATGTCTAACTTTCTTACCGTTTCTTGACTGGTGAGTTGTGAATGTACGAGGCTATGATGTCTGTGTGTACTGTATGTCTGTCTGTATACAGGTGTATGGTTGAAAATGGCCAGTGTGACTGTAGAAGGCACCTGATTGGTCGACAGTGTTCTGACGTGCAGCCTGGGTACTTCTGTGCCCCACTGGACTACTACAAATATGAGGCAGAGGACGCCGTTGGCCACTCGCCTAGTGACCACAACCTTCCAGTAAGCATATACAGTACAAACAGAAAAACTGTCCGATAGGGCACTATTAATAGATGTAAATTGAGTATAGTCTAGTGTGAATTTAGTCCTTACAAGCATACCAGTGTTTGCAGTTCACAGCTCTCACCTGCTTCACTGCTAAATGTAGAATCCTTGAATAATATGTTATTTCCTTGGAAGATGTTAAGTCTTTCTTTGCTGGACAGTTAGGAAGTGAATGGTCTTTCTGTGGATTTGGTACTTTTCCTTTTCTCTTGTGCTTTAAATAATGTGTGTAAACACCTTTCACTGATATTCTATCCGACCTTGGGATTCTATATCTGTGCGATATGGTTTTTAGACTAAACTTTTCCATGTTTGGTCTTGGGCACAAACTGTTAACATAAGGAGATTTCACTGTATTATTTCACATTCAAGGTCATTCTTAGTGGATTAGAAACTGTATGTCTGTGTCGGTTCTGCTAAGTCTCTGAGTAGAACACTATCTGAGGTCTTTATCTGTATCTGGGTCCCGTTGGGATGTTTGACTGGCTTTAACTGTGCCTTGCAGGTACAGGCAGAGCTAGAGAGATGGGTATCAGACCAGGAGAATGTGTCTCTGTGTGGGCAGACCCATAGCTCAGGAGTTGTGTGTGTGTGTGTGTGTGTGTGTGTGTGTGTGTGTGTGTGTGTGTGTGTGTGCGCACTATGGAAGGTACTGATAGTCTGGCTCCCACAGGTAAAGGGATTTACACTCCTCTCTGATTGGTCAATCAGATTACCTGCTGCGTGTACAGACCCCCCCCCCCTACTCACCCAGACAGTTGCTGGAACAGAACACAACAACAGACAGACAACGGCTGCAGGCAGCAGGCCTCTGTGTTATGTTATCTCATATCATACCTCCTGTCTCCTCACTTCCCCCAGGACAAGCCTCAACATCCCCTACAAAAGCTAAATTTAAAAAAGGAATATGAAAGCATGAGATACAGTATGTAAGAGGCTGTCTGTAGAGTACAATAGAGTGCAGGACCAGGGGATTGTGGGTCATGCAGTAGCTGGACTCAGGGGTTAGTGTGTTGTCACTTTTTTAAAAGTGATTTATTATAATGTGATATGAAGGGTGGTCATGTGGTGTGAAAGGTGGTCATGTGGTGTGAAGGGTGGTCATGTGATAATAAACATTATTCTCTCTTGCACTACATCCCCTCTCTCTCTAGCTAAAATGATACTGATTATACTTTCTCATTTTCTGGCATCTCTTTCTCTCTTTTTATTGACATGGCATCAGTTCATGCTTAGCATCAGCTCTGAGCCTGGCTCCTCTCTAGGTTTCTTTCTAGTATCCTGCCTTCTAGGGAGTTTTTCCTAGCCATTGTGCTTCTACGTCTGCGTTGCTTGCTGTTTCGGTGTTTAGGCTGGGTATCTGTAAAGCACTTTGTGACAACTGCTGATGTAAAAAGGGCTTTATAAAATACATTTGATTGATCAGGTTTTCTCAGGTTTCGTAGCGTCTTCAAACTGCGCTCTTTTGAGGGTGACCTTGCATTAGATGAGGGTGGCAGCATGTTGTGTATATCAGAGGTCAGATAAGTGAGTATTGGCTGGTGTGTTAGCTACGGTAGTAGTGTGCAGTGGGCCTGCAGACAGAGCTGAGCCCAGTAACTCACCGACAGACACTGTGGTAGGCTAGGCTCCACTCAGAGCTATGACACTGGCCCAGAGCTGAAGTGACCCGGAAAAAGATCAGACGGTAGAGGAGATGCCAGCCTGTCACAGAGAGTTAGTGCTGCCTGCCACACACACATACACAAAGCCACAGCTCTCTGCCTCTTTTCTCTCTCTCTCTCTCTCTCTCTCTCTCTCTCTCTCTCTCTCTCTCTCTCTCTCTCTCTCTCTCTCTCTCTCTCTCTCTCTCTCTCTCTCTCTCTCTCTCACCCACCCACACGTTCTAGCAATATCTCTAACAGCACCACTCCCTCACATACACTTTCTTTCTTTCTCTCTGTTGGAATGAATGTAAAAGTTTCCATTTAATATCCTCATGGTCACTAATTTCAGCCTAGTCAAGGTACAGCTATTCTGTTCCTAGCAAGGCAGGCACACTTAGTCTATAAGTCGGTAGTCAGTAAATCAAATGAACTAATCCTCACCTCCACCTCTCCTCTCCCCAGGGCAAGGCCAGGCCCCAGGCTGAGGTCGACTGTGTGGAACACCTCAACAACCAGCTGAGGAGACACAGACGCCACAGACGCATCGCCACCACCCAGCAGCAGAGGACAGCACTGAGGCGCATCCGCCAGCTGCAGCAAACGGTAACACTCACTGTCTGTTCCCTCCATATAAATAAATACTACTACTGACCTCTATGTTTCCATTTGCCTTGAACCATGGTCAAAGTGATTTAATATCGATTGGATGATTACATTATCACACACAGAGAGAATGGCTGTTTAGTTTTTTTTTTGTGCACTTCAAAGAGCTCTGCTGATAAATCCCAGTGAAAGTGGCCCACATATGGTAGAGATAGTGGAGAATGTCTCCACACAGACATATTCCATAGACCAGTCAGTCAGATGGTTATGGGGTGGGCTGTGGGCGCAGGCAGCCAGGGCTTGACAGCAGGAATCTGAGTCCACCCATACAGTCCATACAGGTATGTGTTTGTTTAATCTCCCTGGATAGTCTCTCTCCTCCACCACAGACTAGATTACCTGTCAAGGATGTCTAAACAGGGCTGTTTTACATGCTGTTCATCTGACTCCTCTTGTTGGCATAGTACAGTATGCATGCAGGAATGTAGAACTGTTGACTGTGAGGGCCCTGATAGTCCTGTGTATGTTCACGGGTCATCTTCTATGTGTGTGTTCCAGCCTGATGTAAGGAGTGTTCACAGGGAGAGATCTCAGGGTCACATGGTCACCTGGACTGGACCTGGTTTTGCCCGGGTCAAAGATGGTGCTGGACTGGTATTCACAATAGACAACATCCCCCATGCCATGGAGTATGACATCATGATCCGCTATGAGCCAGAGGTACACTTCACTCTCAGAGTTCCTCCATGTCTTCCCCACAATGAACCATATACATTCATTCAAACCCAATGTACAGTATTACAGGATTACACTATCAGAAATAAAATATTTGAATGTTGTCTCCCTCCCTCATTTTATTACTCCACAGGGTGTAGTTGGAAATGATAATTGTGATAACATTTACATTTACATTTTAGTTATTTAGCAGACACTCTTATCCAGAGCAACTTACAGTTAGTATATTCATTTTAAGGTAACTAGGTGAGACAACCACATATCACTGTCATAGTAAGTAAAAACGTTCCTCAATAAAGCAGATATCAGCAAAGTCGGTGCTAGTATGAAAAGACAAGTGTGAGTGTTAGTGCAAGAACAATGCAACAGTGTAACAATGGAACAGTGTAAAACAAATGCTGTTTCCACCCTTTAAAACACTGCCTGTTATGTGTGTGTGTGTGTAGTCTACTGAGGACTGGGAGGCCATAGTGAGTGTTACCTCCCTGCTGCTGCCCACCAGCTCCCGCTGTGGCAACCTGCTTCCCACTGAACAGCTCTACACTGTCACCCTGCCACACCACAGGAGGTACTACTGATACCAGCAGTGTGTGTGTGTGTAAATGTGCGTGAGAGAAAGAGAGTGTTTAGTACATGTTTTTATTGTTATATATGTTTCCCATATATGTGGTCCTCTGTAGCTCAATTTGTAGAGCATGGCGCTTGTAACGCCAGGGTAGTGGGTTCGATCCCCAGGACCACCCATACGTAAAAATGTATGCACACATGACTGTAAGTCGCTTTGGATAACAGCGTCTGCTAAATGGCATATTATATTATATTTCATTATCGTGTACTAACCTGTATGTCAGTGTATGTGTGGTCTTTGGATTAAACCCAGGTATAAATCTAACAGTGACTTCAATTATATTATCTAACCCTCTAGCAATATTTACAATCCAGCAGATCAGCTGATAACTAAGGATTTCAGAACATTCCTAAAGGGATGTCTTGGATATTTCACTGTATACTGTATCTTGGTTCTGGCCAAACACGTGTGTGAGAGCACATTCTTCTGTTAAAGTAAATTGATAGTGTATTGAGATTGAGTAACGGTGAAAACGCCCAGTCTAGGTGAGAGCAAGTTGCTGTAGGTTCATTGAGTTCGTTTTAGATTTATTTAGCTGAGATCATCCTTGAGATTGCAGATGGTTAAGATAAAAGCTTGCCAGAAGATCACGTATGAATGATTTGACTGTGTGTATGAGTGTTCACCCGGTAGGGGGGCCTTGCAGTGAATAGGAGAGGATGTACTTTGTTACAGGTAATATACAGTACAATGTTTGCTATCAGCAATAAAGATGTAGTCCTTGTTGTGTTCTGTTCCTTTGAACTTTGCTATGGGAAATAGTCCTGCCTCCACATTCCTCTGTATATGGATGTGCCTGCCATGTGTGTTTGTCCTGCAGCATGCTCTTTGTCCACACTCATTCTCTCACACTCTGTCAACCATCACCATGGAGACTGGCCAGCCCAACCCTTTCCTTTCCTTCTCCACCCCACCTAGGAAAGACTCTGAGTCTACCTCTCTGTTTTTACCTGCCTAGTATGGTCTATTCTCTGGTCAACCAACCTATACATGTTGAGAAACTTCCCTTAGAATGAACTTGTGTGTAACAAAGAGTTCCGGCGGCCCTAGCCCGGATCTTACTGGCTCACTGGACCGTGGCTCCCCCTGCTGTTCTGCTCTATAATTGGCGCCTCAGGCAGAACCAATTAGCAAAGCAACCCAAAATACAGACAGCGAGTCAGAAGTCAGACAGGATGCCAGGGCAGAGAGGGAAAACAAGGGCACTAGGCACACAGTGGCTGGCAGACTGGATCACACACTCTTTGTTGAGAGATTAAAGAGGTGATGGGGTACTAACCCCTCCTCTTTATGAACTCAAAGACCTGTTCTAAATTAGTTGTGTGCAATTAGTTTTTGGGGAATGCAGCACATCTAAAAAAAGACAGACTGGATTGTTGTGTTCACATTTGAGTTGATTCATTTTGGTAGCCCGTCTGTGTCTCCGTCTGTTGCCTGTTTACCAGTATTGAAGAGCAGGAGGAGAAAGGCCCTCTGACAGAGACTGTTCATCTGTCTCTTCCAATCAGGGGTCCCAGACCTCCCTGTTTCATCCTGGCACTGGCACTACTGTATGTGTGTTTGTATAGTGGGTGTGTATGTGTGTTTGTATAGTGTCTGTGGGTGTGTATGTGTTTTTGTATAGTGTGTGTTTGTTTCTGGTCCAGTGAGCCTCTTCACTCTGTGCGTCATCTGGTTGCAAGGCTAAGTTTGATTTCTTTCACTTTAATTTTTATGGCTGTATTTCCTTTCAACTTTATAATATAGAACAATGTAATATCAGATTGTCTGCTAAGAGAATCTCTTTGTGTGACCCAACAGGTATGTCCAGATGCCCAGGCCTTTCTGCTTTGAGCCCAGTAACCGTTATGTCGTGGCCATTAGATTCCAGCGCCACGGAGTGTCCCAGAGACACCTGACTGCTTTCATCCTCGTTGATTCGGTGAGACAGTCAGACTAGAGTGACAGCCCCGCATTAGATGGAGTTAATGTAAAACAGAAAGCAAAATGTTTATGTGTGTGAGTGAACGATCAGCAGTGGTGTGATAATAACTGTTGATCAGATACCGCAACCTAGTGGTCTGAAAACAAACGTGCATTTAGATTAAGATTGAGACTGCAATAGGTACCAAATTCACTTTACATATGAACTCCTTTCAGCTCTCACTCACCTTCTTTTACTACCTTTCATCCCTCCATTCCTCCTCCCCAGCTGGTGCTGATCCCCAAGTACACAGAGCTGCCTGGTTTCCAGGGTAACGACCCTGCGGTGGAGGAGCGCCGTGATGAGATGGTGCGCTACATGTGTCTGGACTCCTTCCTGGCCACGCCCATGCCCATGCTGGCAGAGATGTGCACCAAGCTCATCTGCAGCATCTCTGCCATCCTGCATGATGGAGCCCTGCGTGAGTGGACCCTCCACACAGCCACACACTGCACTGGGGGGTCAGGGGTCAAAGATCAAAGGAACGGGAACATTAGGCAATGCCTCCATTAATACCTTCTTATCGAATACTGGGTATTAAATACACTTTACTTACCAATCTACTATTACAAGCTGCGCTATGATAAGTAACACAATGTAACCAGTGTTGCCAACTATTTTTAAGTAAGAATCGCTGTTGGCTCCTTGATTTGTCGCTAGAAGTCGCTAGATTGCATTTTGCGACGACGTCACAGCATCAATTTGCTGCGGCCCCCGACGTAGCGTTTTTGCCCCCCTCTCCCACCACACACCCCCTCCTCTTGTGCTTCTCTTCCTGTGTGTGCACCGTTGCTGTGACTTCTGTTGGACAGACAGCTTCTCCCACTCCCGTTTGCGCCAGAATTTAGTGGGAAAAGTCGCTAAATGCTATCAAAACCATAACTCTCGGTGGCAAAACTCCTCAAAAGCAGCCTGAAAAGTAGTGAATTTGTCGCTATCCTCTAAAACCAATAAAAGTTGCTGGAGTGGCCTGAAAATTCACTAAATTGGCAACACTGAATGTAACCCTGTTGTAACACAATTTGATATGGTCTCCGTATGCCATCACCCATGGCTTGTTTGACTAAACACTTTTCTTCTCCTCTCATGTTCCCTACAGAATGTCAGTGCGACCCCCAGGGGTCTCTCAGTGCTGAGTGTGACAGGGTCGGAGGTCAGTGTCGCTGTAAACCCAACGTGATTGGACGACGGTGTGACCAGTGTGCACCTGGCACTTACGGCTTTGGACCATATGGCTGTACTGGTGAGTGAGCACTGACATCCTTCAGTCATTCATCATATCTTTGTTTTATTTATATATATATATATATATACACAGTTGAAGTCGGAAGTTTACATACACCTTAGCCAAATACATTTAAACTCAGTTTTTCACAATTCCTGACATTTAATCCTAATAAAAATTCCCTGTTTTAGGTCAGTTAGGATCACCACTTTATTTTAAGGATGTCACAATAATTTTACATTTTAGTCATTTAGCAGATGCTCTTATCCAGAGCAACTTACAGTTAGTGAATACATATATTTTTTTTATACTGGCCCCCCGTGGGAATCGAACCCACAACCCTGGCGTTGCAAACGCCATGCTCTATCAACTGAGCTACATCCCTGCCGGCCATTCCCTCCCCTACCCTGGACGATGCTGGGCCAATTGTGCGCCGCCCATGAGTCTCCCGGTCGCTGCCGGCTGCGACAGAGCCTGGATTCGAACCAGGATCTCTAGTAATAGTAGAGAGAATGATTTATTTCAGCTTTTATTTCTTTCATCACATTCCCAGTGGGTCAGAAGTTTACATACACTCAATTAGTATTTGGTAGCATTGCCTTTAAATTGTTTAACTTGGGTCAAACATTTCGGGTAGCTTTCCACAAGCTTCCCACAATAAGTTGGATGAATTTTGGCCCATTCTTCCTGACAGAGCTGGTGTAACTGAGTCAGGTTTGTAGACCTCCTTGCTCGCACACGCTTTTTCAGTTCTGCCCACAAATTTTCTATAGGATTGAGGTCAGGGCTTTGTGATGGCCACTCCAATACCTTGACTTTGTTGTCCTTAAGCCATTTTGCCACAAATTTGGAAGTGTGCTTTGGGTCATTGTCCATTTGGAAGACCCATTTGCGACCAAGCTTTAACTTCCTGACTGATGTCTTGAGATGTTGCTTCAATATATCCACATAATTTTCCTTCCTCATGATGCCATCTATTTTGTGAAGTGCACCAGTCCCTCCTGCAGCAAAGCACCCCCACAGCATGATGCTGCCACCCCCGTGCTTCACGGTTGGGATGGTGTACTTCGGCTTGCAAGCAACCCCCTTTTTCCTCCAAACATAACAATGGTCATTATGGCCAAACAGTTCTATTTTTGTTTCATCAGACCAGAGGACATTTCTCCAAAAAGTAAGATCTTTGTCCCCATGTGCAGACAGAAGCTTCTAAAGCCATGACATCATTTTCTGGAATTTTTCAAGCTGTTTAAAGGCACAATCAACTTAGTGTATGTAAACTTCTGACCCACTGGAATTGTGATACAGTGAATTATAAGTGACATAATCTGTCTGTAAACAATTGTTGGAAAAATTACTTGTGTCATGCACAAAGTAGATGTCCTAACCGACTTGACAAAACTATAGTTTGTTAACAAGAAATTAGTGGAGTGGTTGAAAAACGAGTTTTAATGACACCAACCTAAGTGTATGTAAACTTCCGACTTCAACTGTATTTACAGTACCAGTCAAAGGTTTGGACACATCTACTCATTCAAGGGTTTTTCTTTATTTAAAACATGTTTTACATTGTAGAATAATAGTGAAGACATCAAAACTATGAAATAACACATATGGAATCATGTAGTAACCAACAATGTGTTAAACAAATCAAAATATATTTTATATTTGAGATTCTTCAAATAGCCACCCTTTGCCTTGATGACAGCTTTGCACACTCTTGGCATTCTCTTAACCAGCTTCATGAGGTAGTCACCTGGAATGCATTTCAATTAACAGGTGTGCCTTTTTAAAAGTGAATTTGTGTCCTTCTTTTCTTAATGCGTTTGAGCCAATCAGTTGTGTTGTGACAAGGTAGGGGTGGTATACAGAAGATATCCCTATTTGGTAAAAGACCAAGTCCATATTAAGGCAAGAACAGCTCAAATAAACAAAGAGAAATGACAGTCCATCATTACTTTAAGACATGAAAGACAGTCAATGAGGAACATTTCAAGAATTTTGAAAGTTTCTTCAAGTGCAGTCGCAAAAACCATCAAGCGCTATGATGAAACTGGCTCTCATGAGGACCGCCACAGGAATGGAAGACCCAGAGTTACCTCTGCTGCAGAGGATAAGTTCATTAGAGTTACCAGCCTCAGAAATTGCAGACCAAATAAATGCTTCACAGAGTTCAAGTAACAGACACATCTCAACATCAACTGTTCAGAGGGGACTGTGTGAATCAGGCCTTCATGGTCGAATTGCTGCAAAGAAACCACTACTAAAGGACACCAATAAGAAGAAGAGACCTGCTTGGGCCAAGAAACACGAGCAATGGACATAAGACCGGTGGTCCAAATTTGAGATTTCTGGTTCCAAACGCCGTGTCTTTGTGAGATGCGGTGTGGGTGAACGGATGATCTCCGCATGTGTAGTTCCCACCGTAAAGCATGGAGGAGGAGGTGTTATGGTGTGGGGGTGCTTTGCTGGTGACACTGTCTGTGATTTATGTAGAATTCAAGGCACACTTAACCAGCATGGCTACAACAGCATTCTGCAGCAATACGCCATCCCATCTGGTTTGGGCTTAGTGGGACTATCATTTGTTTTTCAACAGGACAATGACCCAACACACCTGCTATTTGACCAAGAAGGAGAGTGATGGAGTGCTGCATTAGATGACCTGGCCTCCACAATCCCCCGACCTCAACCCAATTTGAGATGGTTTGGGATGAATCGGATGCCAGAGTGAAGGAAAAGCAACCAACAAGTGCTCAGCATATGTGGGAACTCCTTCAAGACTGTTGGAAAAGCATTCCAGGTGAAGCTGGTTGAGAGAATGCCAAGATTGTGCAAAGCTGTCATCAAGGCAAAGGGTGGCTATTTGAAGAATCTCAAATTTGATGATTTGTTTAAGACTTTTTTGGTTAATACGTGATTCCATATGTGTTATTTCATAGTTTTGATGTCTTCACTATTATTCTACAATGTAGAAAATAGTACAAATAAAGAAAAACCTTTGCATTAGTAGGTGTGTCCAAACTTTTGACTGGTACTCTATATGGCAGGTGCTACAGCTTGTGTGTGTCAAACACTGGATAACCTCACAAAACACATCTGAAATACTATTTCCCCTTCTCTCTTTCTCCCTCTCTCTCCCTCCCTCCTTTTCTCTCTCCTCTCCCCCTCTCTTTCTCCCCCTCCCTCCACAGCCTGTGACTGCCATTCCCAGGGCTCTCTGGGGCACCAGTGTGACCCGGCGACAGGGCAGTGCCCATGCAGACAGGGGGCCAGCGGGCGCCAGTGTTCAGACTGCCAGCCTGGCCAGTGGGGCTTCCCCAGCTGCAGGCCGTGCCAGTGTAACGGTCACGCTGATGACTGCAACCCACAAACAGGGGCGTGCCAGGCCTGCAGAGACTACACTGATGGACAGTACTGTGAAAGGTGGGCAGTGGGAGTGGGATAGACAGGGTAGTGATTGGTAGTGGTCTGGGTAGTAGTGTTTTGGTGTAGTGTGGTTGGATCAGATAATTGTTTGATCAGTAGTAGTCCAATAGGTAATAGTGTGATGGGTAGTAAGTGTACCACATGAAACAGATTAGGTAATAGTGTGATGATGGGTACAATACTCAAATACACCTGTTCTGTCCCTCCCTGCCCAGGTGTGTGAATGGTTTCTTTGGGAACCCAGTGCTGGGGTCTGGAGATCACTGTCGACCATGTGCCTGTCCTGGGAACCCAGGAAGTGGACACTCCAACGGGGACTCCTGTCACACTGACATCTCATCCAATCAGATCCTCTGCAACTGTAAAGAGGGCTATACAGGTGAGTCCCAATGATACAGTTTAGCTCACTAAAAAATACATCCTAGCTTGGTTTATAGGCATTTCACTTATTTACCTAACCCTAACCCCTCCACTCTAACCTAACCCTAACCCCTTCCCCACCCTAGGCCCTCGCTGTGAACGCTGTGCCCCTGGTTACTATGGCAACATTGCGCTCCCAGGGGGGCAGTGCCGCCCGTGCCAGTGCAGTGGCAACATCGACACCCAGGACCCAGAGTCATGTGACCCCAGCACCGGCCAATGCCTGAGGTGCCTGTACAACACGGACGGCCCCTCCTGCTCCGACTGTAAACACGGTTACTATGGCAACGCCCTGGCCCAGGACTGCAGGCGTGAGTTACAACATGACAGTAGATGGTTGAATCTCTAATGAGTTCTCTGCATTTTCTTATGTGTGTAAGGGACTGGTCATGCCCACTGGAGACAAACAATTGGCATGTGTCTGCAGTGCACATTCGCTCAATTATATCTTACGACATTCTCTGCTCTGTTTGTGTTGTATTGTGTCTGACGTGTATCTTATTCCATCTGCAGGCTGCACATGTGTAACAGCAGGTACACAACAGTCATACTGCAGTGACGGTCATTGCCACTGTGACAGACAGACAGGAGCATGCCCGTGTCGGGAAAATGTGGTCGGGCACAACTGTGACCAGTGTGCCCCCGACTACTGGAACTATGGCACAGACAGAGGGTGTGAGCAGTGTGGGTGCCACCCTCATCACGCTATGGGATCCCATTGCAACATGGTAGGCCCTATAGTTGTGAAAGGCAGTTTTACATACTTTTGTTTAGTGTACTTTACTTTATCAGTGGTATCCCTCTCTCTGTCTGCCTGTAGTTTAGTGGACAGTGTCACTGTCAGCAAGGCTTTGGGGGAAGGCAGTGCACGGAGTGTGAGCAGTTCCATTGGGGAGACCCACGCGTGCAGTGTGAAGGTAATCACACATCACAGTTCAATAGGCTTTTCAAAGTCTGCCTTTAATTCTATATTCTGTATTACTGCCACCTTCATATTCACAATGTATATCTTCATGTGTATCTCTCTCCCCCTCTCCATCTCTCTGCTCCATCTCTCTCCTCCTCTCCATCTCTCTCTCCCCCCCATCTCTCTACTCCCCCTGCACAGCTCTCTGACTCGGAGCTCCCCCCCCGCCAGCGCGGCGTGCCCCCCGCGCAGCCGAGGTCCCCGGCCATCGCAGCTCGTCTCCCCCACTCCACTCCATCTCGCCCTCTCCATCTCTGTCTCCCCCTCTCCATCCTTACTCCGCGTCATCTCGCTACTCCCTCTCCATCTCTCACTCTCTCTCACCCTCTCCATCTCTTCTTCCTCTCCATTCTCCTTCTCCCCTCTCAACCCTCTTCTCCCCCTCCATCTCTTCTCCCCCTCTCCATCTCTCTTCTCCCCCTCTCCATCTCTCTACTCCCTCAGCGTGTAACTGTCACCGCCTGGGCTCAGAGATGGCCCAGTGTGACCGTGTGACGGGGGTGTGTGAGTGTAAGGAGGGGGCGGCGGGGCAGCGGTGTGACGAGTGTGCCCGCGGGTTCACCGGGGCATTCCCTAAGTGTGTCCGGTGCCACCCCTGCTTTGAGCTGTGGGATGACGCGGTGTGTATGATCCGCCGGGACCTGGACCACATCCGCCATGACATCCAGAAGATCGTGGAGAGGGGAGAGACGCCCGGCGTGGGAGACAAACGCATCCGCGAGCTGGAGAACAAACTGGCCCAGGTACAGGATCTGATCCGAGACGGAGACTGGGACAGACTACACCAGCTGATTGGCCAGTCCATCGATGACCTCAGGTAACAGCGTCATACTGTACTGTACTGTAGGTGGCACTAGAATGGAGAGTGCTCTTTGACCTCTTGCAGTGTAGAGTAGTTAAATCCACTGATGACAATAACTAATGAATCCACTGATGACAATACTGAGGGCCATACTAACATAATACACACACATAAAACCGGATTCTGTGTGAAATTGACAATACCCATTGACTATGGACTGAGTCATATAAGAAGTCAGAAGTCTAACACGACTATGTGGCATTCCAGAGCGGAGATAGCTCTGACTGACGGGCGTCTGATGGGTGTGGCCTGGGAGCTGAATGGGACAGCGGTGCAGGACGAGGTACTAAGGAGGAACCTGACCCAGATGGAGAGAGAACTCAGGGACCTCAACACCACTCTGGTGCACAGCCGCCAAGAACAGGAGAACTACCTCAGCTCTGGTTTCCAAGGTAACACCTTCCCCTAGACCCCCTTCTTCCCCAGTCACCAAAACAGACACATATACACTTGACGCTCACACACGTCTTGTACAACTAACCTTGTGGGGACACACAATTCAGTCCCATTCAAAATACTATTTTCCTTAACCCCTAACCATAAACCCAACCCTAACCTTAACCTTAACCCTAAACCTAGCCCTAGCTCCTAATCCTAAAACTAACCCTAGCTCCTAACCCTAACCCTAAACCTAATTCTAACCCTAACACTTTCTAACCTTAACCATAAACCCCCTAGAAATAGTATTTGACCTTGTCGGGACTAACAAAATGTCCCCTATTGGTCAACTTTTTGTTTGTTTACTATTATTGTGGGGACTTCAAGTATAGTACAAAAGTACACACACTGGCACACATTCTGATAAGCTGTAGACCACACTATTTACCAAGAGAGTTTTCATCTATATTTTTCATAGCTGTCTATTTACCACCACAAACCAATGCTGGCATTAAGATTGCTCTGAATGAGTTGTACAAGGCCATTAATCAACAGGAAAACGCTCATCCAGATGCAGCGCTCCTAGTGGCCGGGGACTTTAATGCAGGGAAACTTAAATCCGTTCTACCTAATTTCTACCAGCATGTTAAATGTGCAACCAGAGGGAAAAAAACTCTAGACCACCTTTACTCCACACACAGAGACGCATACAAAGCTCTCCCTCGCCCTCCATTTGGCAAATCTGACCATAACTCTATCCTCCTGATTCCTGCTTATAAGCAAAAACTGAAGCAGGAAGCACCAGTGATTCGGTTAATAAAAAAGTGGTCAGATGACGCAGATGCTAAGCTACAGGACTGTTTTGCTAGCACAGACTGGAACATGTTCCGGGATTCTTCAGACAGCATTGAGGAGTACACCACATCAGTCACTGGCTTCATCAATAAGTGCATCGATGATGTCGTCCCCACAGTGACCGTACGTACATACCCCAACCAGAAGCCATGGATTACAGGAAACATCCGCACTGAGCTAAAGGGTAGAGCTGCCGCTTTCAAGGAACGGGACTCTAACCCGGACGCTTATAAGAAATCCCGCTATGACCTCCGACGAACCATCAAACAGGCAAAGAGTCAATACAGGTCTAAGATTGAATCATACTACACTGGCTCTGACGCTCGTCGGATGTGGCAGGGCTTGAAAACTATTACAGACTACAAAGGGAAGCACAGCCGCGAGCTGCCCAGTGACACAAGCCTACCAGACGAGCTAAACCACTTCTATGCTCGCTTCGAGGCAAGCAACACTGAAGCATGCATGAGAGCACCAGCTGTTCCGGATGACTATGTGATCACGCTCTCCGTAAGACTTTTAAGCAGGTCAACATTCACAAGGCCGCAGGGCCAGACGGATTACCAGGACGTGTACTCCGAGCATGTGCTGACCAACTGGCAAGTGTCTTCACTGACATTTTCAACATGTCCCTGACTGAGTCTGTAATACCAACATGTTTCAAGCAGACCACCATAGTCCCCGTGCCCAAGAACTCTAAGATAACCTGCCTAAATGACTACCGACCCGTAGCACTGACGTCTGTAGCCATGAAGTGCTTTGAAAGACTGGTCATGGCTCACATCAACAGCATAATCCCAGAAACCCTAGACCCACTCCAATTTGCATACCGCCCCAACAGATCCACAGATGATGCAATCTCTATCGCACTCCACACTGCCCTTTCCCACCTGGACAAGAGGAACACCTACGTGAGAATGCTATTCATTGACTACAGCTCAGCATTCAACACCATAGTGCCCTCTAAGCTCATCACTAAGCTAAGGATCCTGGGACTAAACACCTCCCTCTGCAACTGGATCCTGGACTTCCTGACGGGCCGCCCCCAGGTGGTAAGGGTAGGTAACAACACATCTGCCACACTGATCCTCAACACGGGGGCCCCTCAGGGGTGCGTGCTCAGTCCCCTCCTGTACTCTCTGTTCACCCATGACTGCATGTCCAGGCACGACTCCAACACCATCATTAAGTTTGCCGACGACACAACAGTGGTAGGCCTGATCACCGACAACGATGAGACAGCCTATAGGGAGGAGGTCAGAGATCTGGCCGTGTGGTGCCAGGACAACAACCTCTCCCTCAACGTGACCAAGACAAAGGAGATGATTGTGGACTACAGGAAAAAAAAGAGGACTGAGCACGCCCCCATTCTCATCGACGGGGCTGTAGTGGAACAGGTTGAGAGCTTCAAGTTCCTTGGTGTCCACATCACCAACGAACTATCATGGTCCAAACACACCAAGACAGTCGTGAAGAGGGCACGACAAAGCCTATTCCCCCTCAGGAGACTAAAAAGATTTGGCATGGGTCCTCAGATCCTCAAAAAATTATACAGCTGCACCATCGAGAGCATCCTGACTGGTTGCATCACCGCCTGGTATGGCAACTGCTTGGCCTCTGACCGCAAGGCACTACAGAGGGTAGTGCGTACGGCCCAGTACATCACTGGGGCAAAGCTTCCTGCCATCCAGGACCTCTATACCAGGCGGTGTCAGAGGAAGGCCCTCAAAATTGTCAAAGACTCCAGCCACCCTAGTCATAGACTGTTCTCTCTGCTACCGCACGGCAAGCGGTACCGGAGTGCCAAGTCTAGGTCCAAAAGACTTCTCAACAGCTTCTACCCCCAAGCCATAAGACTCCTGAACAGCTAATCATGGCTACCTGGACTATTTGCACTGACCCCCCACCCCATCCTTTTTACGCTGCTGCTACTCTGTTAAGTATTTATGCATAGTCACTTTAACTCTACCCACATGTACATATTACCTCAACTACCTCAACTAGCCGGTGCCCCCGCACATTGACTCTGCAACGGTACCCCCCTGTATATATAGCCTCCCTACTGTCACTTTATTTTACTGTATATATAGCCTCCCTACTGTCACTTTATTTTACTTCTGCTCTTTTTTTCTCAACACTTTTTTTGTTGTTGTTTTATTCTTACTTTTTTTTGTTTAAAATAAATGCACTGTTGGTTAAGGGCTGTAAGTAAGCATTTCACTGTAATGTCTGCACCTGTTGTATTCGGCGCATGTGACCAATACAATTTGATTTGATTTGATTTGACATACACATGTATTTACTCTTCAGTTAGTCTCTTTCATTCATGTCTTTGGCCTTGTTCTTGTCCCATCCCAGATCAGTTTGACAATGTGAAGAAGTACTACGGTGAGTCCCAGGAGGCTCAACAGAAGTGCAACGCCTCAGTGTCCGGTCCTTTCAGCCCTGTGGAGGAGTCTAAAGCCACACGTGCACACACCGAGGGCCTTCTGAACAAGAGACGGGATAAGTTCCTGCGCACCGTGGCGGCCCAGAAGAAATCACTGTCAGAGCTGCAGAACAAAGCCCAGGATGTGGACAAGAAAGTCCACCACTTGAGCCACAAGGTACACTCTTAGAAAAGAAGGTGCTACCTAGAACCATAAAGGGTTCTTCAGTTGTCCCCAAAAGGGGAACCCTCTGAAAATGAAAAATGTTTTGGTTCAAAGTGGAACACTTTCACTAAAACAAAATTATACGTGGAACTCTTTCAACACAAAGGTTATAAGGATAACCTTTTTCACCACCAAAGGGTTCTTTCTACCTGAAACCAAAAAAAGGTATCCTATGGGGACAAACAAAGAAGCCTTTTTTCTCCAGGAGTGTAGGGGCCTGTAGGGGACAATATAGTGGGGTCTGTATCCTAAAGGGAAGCTAGTCGCCTTTCTTAGCAGGATTGGTCATCCCTGTCACATAGAGCTAACTGTCAGACCTGTCATGATTTCACTTGTGATAACTGTTACACTATCCCTGCCCTAAATATGTGCCCTGTAGCGCTCTGTGTCTCTCTGACAACTCTGTTGTTGTTTTTCTTCCAGGTATGTGGTGGCCATTCCAATGCCAGCTCCAATGGCACATGTCACGACAGCCCATGTGGGGGTGCTGGTTGTCGTGACAATGACGGTCGCCGGGTGTGTGGCGGGGATGGGTGTAACGGGACTGTTAGCGCCTCCCTAAAGGGACTGAAACATGCCAATGATGTCACAGACAACCTGACTGCTGCCAGTGAGGATCTCCAGGGTATGGCTAAAAAGGTATGTCTGCCTAAATATCTCACATGTACGATACCTCTGCATGCATGTATCTCAATATAAGCTGAATCACTGAGCAAAATCTGCCTTTTTAAGTTCTCTAAAAGGGGTTGTATTATATGTCTGTCAGTGCTCTTGTGATTGTAAGCATGTTTTGTATATGTGTTGCATATGCAGTAATCCCCAGTTTTATGTTTCCAGCTCCAGGACCTAGCTATGCTGACCCAGGATGTGAAGAATCAAGCCATGGACACCCTGGACAAAGCCCAGAAGAAGAAGGACTTATTTGAAAACTCCAATAAAAAACTCAAGGAATTCATTCAGAAGATCAAAGACTTCCTGACTGGTTTGTTAATGCCAGTAACCTTCCAGATAACTTATCTCTATGGACATGTCTTATGATATGAAATTGATCATGGTTCTTCTCCACTATGTGTTGTGTACAGAGGAGGGTGCGGACCCAGAGAGCATAGAGAAGGTGGCTCAGCAGGTGCTGGCCATATCTCTTCCTTTCAACAGAACCACTCTAGACAGCATGGTCCAGCAGATTAAAGACAACATTAACAACCTGACAGATGTAGAGGGGGTCTTCAACCACACCTCCCAGCAACTCCACCAGGCCAAGGAGCTGCTCAACCGAGCTAAGGATGCCAAGTAAGACAGAGGGAGAAAGAGGCAAAGAGAGGCATATTAGACTTAGACGTATAGACTTATAAGTAAATCATGATGATCTTTGTCTGTTCACCAGTAGTTACTCTGTTATTAGCCTATGTGATATAAAATGGAACACAGGAAATGCACAGAGAGTGTTTTCATAGAACAGCAGAGCTCTCAGACTCACACATGTCCTGTGTGTGTTTGAAGGACACGGGCAGAAGGAGTGAAGGACACAGCCAACATGACTAAGCAGTCTTTGGATGCGTCTGAAAAGGCTATTCAGAATGCAACCAAAGCCCTGGACAATGCCCTGAACAATCTCAACAGCACAAGGAACGCCACCGCAACGGTACACTACTGTCCACAGCCACACCACAGTGTGTGTGTGTTTTACATTCTGATATCTTTCTTGTTGTATACCCATGCAGGTGGAGGAGAAACTTCAGGATCTGGAGGTCAAGCAGATGGATGCTATGATGCGACTGGCCAACCTGTCGATGGGGGTAGAGGCACTAAAAACCAAGACAGATCAGAACAGGGAGATGGCCCAAGATGCCAAGAACCAGGCCAAAAATGCCACTAATGCAGCATCGGGACTGGAGCAGGTGTGTGTGTGTGTGTGCGTGTGCATCCGTGCCTGTGTGCTTGACTGCGTGCTGGCATAAGCATGTGTATGTGTGTGTATGGATGAGTGTGTCCTGGTTGTGGTCCTCCATGTTTTTTTTGTCCGGAAGTTGTGGGCTGAGCTAAAAAATGTCTGTCAGAAGTATTACAATGTAAACTTACTTTTAATCCGTATGTCTGCATATTTCCAGACATGGCATATGGGGGTGTAGTGAGATACCCGATGGGCTGGACAATTCTCTTCTCATCACTCATCTTGAAAAAATGTATACTAAAAACTTAGAAGTCAATCAATCTGCCATTATTAACACAATGGAAAAATCTAATGATTTATTATTCAAATATTGAAATAGCATGGGCGACCAAGAAAAATAAATTGGTTCAATTTAAGGCCAAGTGACAAATAATAATGCAGGCACTAGGGATGGGGGTGTGAGCATGCAGGCCTGGGCAGATGAGATGTAGTCATTGTTTGTGTGTGTCTGTTAGTTGTTGTTTGTTTGTATAAGTTTGTACCTGGACCACACTTTTTTAATGGCTAGCTCAGAATATGAGCTTTCCAACAGTCGTTTATATATGATATAAATCAGTCCTTTCGGGAGCCCAGATCATTTATTTATAAATCCCATCATTGGATGGTTCGGTAGTTGGTTTCCCAAGGGACTCCATAAACCAGCATAGCTGACCTAAGTTGTAAATATAGAAAAAAAGGAGTTGCCTGGTAATGTGGATGTATCTTTCAAATCTTGGAATGTTCTCAACCCATTACTGTCCATGATATCAGCAAGGGTACGGATTCTACATTTTGACCATTGGGAGGATGCAAAAGGCCACCCTCCAGATCTCAGGGCATTATTGTGAAATATTGGAGTATGGCCATGCCATTTTGATTCCCAGTTACATTGTTTTTCAATTTGCGCCAAAAATAAATTGTGTGAGCAATAATAGGACCAAAGCGTAGTTTACATTGTTTAAGGGATATATCAGTGAAGACCACCTCTTCCAGGGCAATAGGAGACACCATATTTCTCTCTATACTCAGCCAGGGGGTGGAAGAATCATGTCTAAACCGATTTAGGAAGAGCCAAAATGCTAGTGCCTTGAAATACAATTTAAAGTTTGGTACGGATAGTCCTCCTGTGCCTTTCCCTATTTGTAAATGTGTTCATTTTATCCGGGATCTTTTACCTTGTCATATAAATGTATAAACCGCACTGTGAATTGTAGCCCAATAGCTAGAAGGGGGAGCCATGGGAAGCATTGAACTACAGAAATTCAGCCGTGGCAATATATTAATTTTGACAATAGATGTGGTCCTCCATGTTGACTTGTTGCTCTATGTGTCTGGTTGTGCTCCAGAGGCTGAATGAAACAGAGGATCGGTACAAGGAACTGCAGATGAAGGTGGACTCTCTGGATGGGGCCTCGGGGGGCCTGGGGAACGTCAACCAGAGGGCCAAGGAGATCAAGAAGGAGGCTGAAGACCTGCTCACTAAGGCCAACAAGGGCATAGAAACCCTACAGAGTATGTAATGTTACTGTACTGCCCTCTGAAACATATGATATAGAATACATGCTCAACGGGTGTAGATAGAGCAGTATGCATCCATAAAGCGTAATCATTGTTAAGAGTAGTCGATGGCCAAAGGATATCAACATGGTGTCTTTGGATTTGTATGCAGATGTGGTCGTAAGTGTGAACTGGAAACTCCGTACATAGTGCACTATTTTTGACCAGGGCCCATAGGGCTCTGCTCAAAAGTAGTGCATTATATAGGGAATAGTGTGCCATTTGGGACGCAGCTAAGCTTTTCAAAGAATGCCCCTCTATTGTTGTCTTCCTATAATCTGTTCTCTGTTGTTCCGTTTTAGAGCTTGAGAGGAAGTTCCGTAATAATGAGCAGAGAATGCAGGACCAGCAAACCGAGCTAGGGGAACTGGAGAAGAACGCCACGGACGCACGGGATGCTATACGAAAGCAGGTGCAGACATACAACAACTGTAACTGATCATGTGGATTGAACGATGTAGGAAACTGTATTAATGAAAATGTACCACTTTATTCCAATTATCCCTCTGTCAAATTTGAAATGAACTTAATAAAACAATTATCACACAAAAAAAGAAGTATGGCAACTGTTAGTGATGGGAGGAACACTGGGTAATGTGTACTGTATAGCTGTAGTCCGTTAGAACACAGCAGGGAGCTCCTTCTGATGTTGTGAATATGCCAGTAAAACTGTCAGTAAAACTGTTGGCACTACATAGATCATCTGCTTCTGTCAGTCAATGGTTAGAGTAACTCCCAATCATTCATTTCATGGTTTTGACATGATGCCATCTGCACAAGGTTGTTGTGTAGCTATGTCTTGAAGATGACAACTGGATATGGACCAATTAAATATGTTTTGTGTTCCAAGATAGATAGACTTTTGAATTAATTGAAGAAAAGAGATCAGAGAGAATGTTTTAGAGGAATATGTTCTTTTGACCAATTAAACGCTCTTTCAGGAATTACTTTAGATTTATTTTGACTACAGTACTTATATGCTATATGTACAATAGGACATTCATATCGAAAAAGTAATATCTGATACCTAGGAGTGACAGATGTTACAGTTTTATTTTGTAACCAAGTATGGTCTTGATGCAAAAAAAAGAATTTCGGCAGTCACACATATACAGTATACACAAAAACAAACACACGCACGGTCGCTCACACAAACAAACATTTTTCTACACGAATTTCATCCCTATTGATGTATAATTGAAACAGACATCTATGAAAAATAAATATACATTTGATATCATGTTTAAGTTTTTTGTCGTACATGTTATGATATGAGGGGGTAGTTTAGTGTGAGGCACATAGATGGACAACATACTAACTACACTTCCACACCTCATCCCCAGGGGGCAGCAGCAGCTGCTTAAAGTGATGTGCTCTGCCAGAAAGCCTTGATAATTACTCAGGTGTGGGCAATCAGGATTTTTGTAAGAGGAGGATTTGTTGTTGTTGAGATGAGGCCAGAAGCCTTTCAGCCGGCCTTTGTTTGTTTCATTCTTTGTGAGAATGCATTGAGGCTTCTACCTTCCTCAACTGTGTGTGTGTGTCTTAACATTCAGTGTGCAATCGAACGCTGCTGGCACCCGCCCACCCGACTAGAATCACCACTCTCGACGGGTCTGACCTAGAGTATGTGGACAACTACAAATACCTAGGTGTCTGGTTAGACTATAAACTCTCCTTCCAGACTCACATTAAGAATCTCCAATCCAAAGTTAAATCTAGAATCGGCTTCCTATTTCGCAACAAAGCCTCCTTCACTCATGCTGCCAAACATGCCCTCGTAAAACTGACTATCCTACCGATCCTTGACTTCGGCGATGTCATTTACAAAATAGCCTCCAACACTCTACTCAGCAAATTGGATGTAGTCTATCACAGTGCCATCCGTTTTGTCTCCAAAGCCCCATATACTACCCACCACTGTGACCTGTACGCTCTTGTTGGCTGGTCCTCACTACATGTTCGTCTTCAAACCCACTGGCTCCAGGCCATCTATAAATCACTGCTAGGCAAATCCCCGCCTTATCTTAGCTCATTGGTCACCATAGCAGCACCCACCCGTAGTCTGCGCTCCAGCAGGTATATCTCACTGGTCATTCCCAAAGCCAACACCTCCTTTGGCCGCCATTCCTTCCAGTTCTCTGCTGCCAATGACTGGAACGAATTGCAAAAATCTCTGAGACTCTTATCTCCCTCACTAACTTTAAGCGTCAGTTGTCAGAGCACCTTACCGATCACTGCACATGTACACAGCCCATCTGAAATTAGCCCACCCAACTACCTCATCCCTATATTGTTATTTATTTTGCTCTTTTGCACCCCAGTATCTCTATTTGCACATAATCTCTTGCACATCTAGCATTCCAGTGTTAATACTAATTGTAATTATTTTGCACTATAGCCTATTTATTGCCTTACCTCCATAACTTGCTACATTTGCACACACTGTATATATATTTTCTGTTGTATTTTATGACCTTATGTTTTTTTTACCCCATATGTAACTCTGTGTTGTTGTTTTTATCGCACTGCTTTGCTTTATCTTGGCCAGGTCGCAGTTGTAAATGAGAACTTGTTCTCAACTGGCTTACCTGGTTAAATAAAGGTGAAATAAAAATAAAAAATAAAAAATTAATTGTGTGCACTGAGTGAAAATCCTCTCCCTCCCCCAGTCCTGAGAGAGAGAGAGTGAGGCCACTACGTGCTACATAGTGGCCCAGGTTTATGGGGTAAAAAAAAAAGCTTGACTGTCCACAGAGAGCGAATGTAATACCACAAGTTAACAATCTATCCAGAGGCATGTTTCAAGATGTGCTAACATTGTTACATACACTGTATATTGTGTAACCATTATGAAAACCGAATAGCCTACTAGAGATCTATAACGTGTAATCATAAGATGCAATTTTGTGTTTTCTGAAAACATGTTCAAATTAATTCAAATGCATGTAGGCATTCCAACCAAATTAATATGATTTTTTCCAACCACCTGTTGTTGGGAAGGAGCATGGTTTGGTGATGGTTAACCAAACATAGCTGGCCTAAAAAGACACCTGAGCTGATTCCCAAGAATTATTCCCAACTTCCGCTTTTCAGGGGAAACAAGATAGGTTGAAATTACTGTATCCCTGAAAGCCGGAAACATCAACTTTTTTCAAGCCCGCGGAGAGTGGGTGATGGTAAGTATAGTAGTAGGAGGATATGTGCGCAGCATGGATTGTTCACTGAAGCAATCAAAGGGAACCTAATCCGTTCTCTCTATAGCGCGCATTCCTGTTTCCTAGGCGCACATCTATTCTCTCTGACAGACACGAGGGTCTTCTGAAAACCGGTGGTGGATTTTACACAGTACTTAAATTAACTTTCACCAACTTCTTCAAGGGACAGACACGGCAGCCAAAAGCAGGTGTGTCTACTGTCATTATGTGTATCAATCATGCCAAAATTATTATCTGAATCTTCAGGCCACTCTTTTGATTTGATCAAAGTCACAAGTTTATGCAGCATCGAGTCTAGTCAGTGATACCCGTATTAGCTATGTTTATGTTGATCATAGTCATAATGAATGTTAAAACCGTTTAATAGTGGAGTTTGCTCTGATGTTATTACACTACAATAAACATGTGCAGCCAGCCAGATATGATGATGAGCGCTCGAGCAGCCAGAAGCGCTCTAGGGTCCATTCCTACGAAACGAGGCTCCGCTACGGAGTTTCCATCAAACGAGACTCAGGACAGAACTTTGGAGAGTGGTCGTAAGACATCAGATAATACTGGTAACTCCGCTCAACCTCGCATCAAATGAAACAGGGGGAATCGTATGGATTCGTGTTGATTTAAAAGACAGGGGGATCAAACCTACTAATATTAAAGTGTAAGTGTCTTTTCTATCTCAGAAATGGTTTATTATAGTTTAACTATGCTATTAAACATAACTTCCAACCTGCAAACTTTACATTCTAATACCGTATCAGTTGATCAAAGTATTTTTATTTTTAAATAAATAAGTGCAGAATCAAAACAGCTCGGTCTTTTTTATTGATTGCGTTAACGTGTGACATTATTCATACCAGGCTATTTCTATTTAACATTTTCAGGCTGAATCTACTGTACAAGTCAAAGGGGACTGACCCATGAACATAAAACCATGCACGCGTCACTGGTAATGTTCATCTGTGGTAAGTAGCTTTGTGCACCGAGTGCTTTGAAGTCAATGAACATTTTCCTACGCCAACCAACAGCTTAATGATGCATTGAAAAGGGTATGAGTTGAGAACTGCTCTGTGGTTGTGTCTTTGTTGAATAGATGTGTTGTGAACTTGTGATGCAGAATTTAAAGGTTACAATCACAGCGAAATGTGTGTACCTCAAGCATCTAGAATTTAAACAAACGGACAGATACTGTACATGGCTGATGGTTGGGACAAAGAGAGAGGCAGAGGGTTGTTTACTGTCTCCAGCTCTGAGACAAGATAGCCTGCTTCTTTTGGGGGATTTCCTCTCTTCTTTAGAGGTTACTTCACTGTTCACAGTCAGGCAACTGTCCTTGGTGTTAAATTCCCATATGTATCTTCCTGGGTGGTGTTGGAGGTCTCTGGGTGGCACTCTGCTCTGTGGGGAGGCTAACCATCAACTCTGTTTATGGTCCTCTTAAAACAGCCCAGCTGAATCCGCAAATAGAGACAATCCATACCCCCCTAGGACAGCATCACAGTCTGTTTGTGTGTGTGTATGTTTATGAGGGGTGATTGGGTGGGATTGGAGGTTAATAGGGCATAACAAGGTTCTCAGAAAAATAGATTCCCTCTGGCATTTAGATCACACCATAATAGTACCTGATTGATTTTGGTTGTGTAAGGTTATTAATCTATAGGCCCATATACCAGCTGATTCATGTTTGCCATAGGGGTTATGCAGTTTGTTGTTATTCTTCATAACATGTTGAAGCTTTATTTAAACTTTCAGCTGAGGACAGGTCTTTGTTAGGGGATGGCTGCCATTTTATGGACTCTTAACCAACCGTGCAATGTTTTCGTATTGTTTGTAACTTATTTTGTACATAATGTTGCTGCTACCGTCTCTTATGACTGAAAAGAGCTTCTGGACATCAGAACAGCGATTACTGACCTTGAACTGGACAAATCATGTGTCTTTAATGAGTTGGAAGAGAGGGATTTGCTCCAGACACCCGACAGGGCCCTCATCCCCATCATTCGCAGTAGAAAGAAAAGGAGATATCGTGGAAGGAAATCGGGGTGCTTGGTAAGGAGCCAGCGACGAGTGGCTAATCTGCCTTTGCCATCGATACTATTGGGCAACATACAATCGCTTGATAATAAAGTGGACGAACTACAGGCACGAATATCCTACCAACGGGACATTCAAATACTATCCAGGTCTGTGCCCAAACAGTTTGAGCTTCTACTTCTAAAACTCCACCTTTCCAGAAATAAGTCTCTCACTGTTGCCGCTTGCTACAGACCCCCCTCAGCCCCCAGCTGTGCCCTGGACACCATATGTGAATTGATTGCCCCCCATCTATCCTCAGAGTTCGTACTGCTTGGTGACCTAAACTGGGATATGCTTAACACCCCAGCCATCCTACAATCTAAACTAGATGCCCTCAATCTCACACAAATAATCAAGGAACCTGCCAGGTACAACCCTAAATCCGTAAAACATGGGCACCCTCATAGATATCATCCTGACTAATTTACCCAGTAAATACACCTCCGCTGTCTTCAACCAGGATCTCAGCGATCACTGCCTCATTGCCTGCATCCGTAATGGGTCAGCGGTCAAACGACCACCCCTCATCACTGTCAAACGCTCCCTAAAACACTTTACGAGCAGGCCTTTCTAATTGACCTGGCCCGGGTATCCTGGATGGATATTGACCTCATTCCGTCAGTAGAGGATGCCTGGTTGTTCTTTAAAAGTGCTTTCCTCTTCATCTTAAATAAGCATGCCCCATTCAGAAAATTCAGAACTAAGAACAGATATAGCCCCTGGTTCACCCCAGACTTGACTGCCCTTGACCAGCACAAAAACATCCTGCGGCGTACTGCATTAGCATCGAACAGCCCCCGCGATATGCAACTTTTCAGGGAAGTCAGAAACCAATATACACAATCAGTTAGGAGAGCAAGGCTAGCTCTTTCAAACAGAAATTTGCATCCTGTATGCACTAACTCCAAAACGTTTTGGGACACTGTAAAGTCCATGGAGAATAAGAGCACCT